ATGTAGTGTACGAAAATGCCACTGACTTGTGAATCACGAATGAAGATAACAGAAGTTTTACTAAATTTTTCGCTATAGGATATTCATCTTGTATTGAATATATTTAAAAAACATATACTACCCAAATTACCTTCACCGACTTAAGACAATCTTCAGAACAACAAAATTCGATAATAGTGACGCATTTCAAAAATACATTGTAATTATTTACTTTATATCACAGATTCTCCTTAATTAATCAACAATCGACAATGCTATATAAACAAAAAATCATTTCATAAAGGAGAACCATATTTTTCAACTACTCAAATAAATGAGCATTTAGTAGAAGTGCTGATTAGTTACTTGAATTAGTGGTATATTGTGAAACCAGTTTTAAAACAATGTACGTTGCTAGTGCAAATAAATGCACTTGTGATTCGTTGGATCCGCACATAACCAGGATTTCGGAGGTGAAATTCGGCATACGAGTATGTTGCATAATAGTAATTATAGATTTTGCAATAAATATATAATCAGAAACCAATTTTCATTATTGATTGTATTATATAAAATGCATGCAATTTTTCTTATCACATGATTGGAAATTTTGAATCAATTATTTCTGTTGATGTTCTAGAAGGTTTTAATTTTTATAATTTTGTTTCGATATACATGAGTAGGTATGGACTTTTATATACTGCTAAGAATCCGGGATACAAAGATATCAATCAGATACAAAGTTATAACATAATTTTGCATCCAGCTCGGACTTCTGCAACTGCAACTGCGATAAAGGACCCTGCCCAAAGTATACGGAGATTGTGTTTATGTCAGAATTGGCTGAATTTTGTATATAGGTAATGTAGATTACGCCTTCCCGATTAAAAGTTACCATTGCACCAATCTTGAAAACTGATTCCTTTTTGAAAAAAATAATTTCATAGGTAGCAAGTGAAACGCTTGGACATTGTAATGAACGTACATACAAACGAGTGTATTGTTGCGGAACTTATGGGTGGACCTCTGCGGGACGAGCGCAGCAAGTTCCGCAGTCATCTACTCACCAATATACTGTTGAACTGTTCAAATAAGACACTCATCTGACACGTGTAGTTTTTGAACTAATGAGAAAAATTCTGAATCAGGTTGTACTTGAACAACATATTGATGAATAGATGGCTGGGTCCACCCATAAGTTCCGCAACAATACACTCGTTTGTACTTGAATAACTTGTCACAATATATTACTAGTTTGGTAAAGTTACATTACTAATTTCTGTTGAAAGGCAAATTGACAAAAAGTGGATAATCTTACAAATTCTGACTTCATTATAATAAGTTATTGTTCAAGTACAAATAAGTGGATTATTGCGGAACTTATGGGTGGACCTCTGCGGGACGAGCGCAGCGAGTTCCGCAGCCATCTAATTACCAATATACTGTTAAACTGTTCAAGTGAGGCATTCACCTGAAACGTGTAATTTTTAAACTAATGAGAATAACGCACATTTGAGTGAGTCAGTGTAGCATCGTAATTAAACAGCATATTGATGAATGGATGGCTGCGGAACTCGGTGCGCTCGTCCCGCAGAGGTCCACCCATAAGTTCCGCAACAATTCACTCATTTGTACTTGAATAACTTGTCACATTATGTTACTAGTTTGGTGAAGTAACATTACTAATTTCTGTTGAAAGGCAAATTGAGAAAAAGTGAATCATAATCTTACAAATTATGACTTTATATAATAAGTTTTTGTTCAAGTACAAATAAGTGGATTATTGCGGAACTTATGTGTGGACCTCTGCGGGACGAGCGCAGCGAGTTCCGCAGCCATCTACTCACCAATATACTGTTTAACTATTCAAATAAAACACTCACCTGAAACTTGTAGTTTTTGAAGTAATGAGAGAATAACTGACATTTGAGTGAGTCAGGTTAGTATCGTTCTTGAACAACGTAGGTATTAATGAATAGATGACCATCCATAATTTCTGCAACAATCCACTCGTTTGTACTTGAATAACTTGTCACATTATGTTACTAGTTTGGTAAAGTAAAATTACCAATTCCTGTTAAAAGGCTAATTAACAAAAAGTGGATAATCTTACAAATTCTGACTTTATACAATAAGTTATTGTTCAAGTACATACAATGTAACTCAAATAGGTAAGCTTGTGGCGCAGTGGTGTGCTACGTATAGTAATTTTTCAGAATTGGTGCAATGGTAAAAACTATTTGAATTCTCTCTACTTTCCTCTAGGTCCCTGAATACATATATTCTCTGTATCTATCGTTCCCCTAGCACTTGCGTTTCGGACTTTGTAGATAAATTTGAAATACTTCTCTCGAACATACCACCAAAGTCCAGACTGATAGTTGCGAGAGACCTTAATATAGATTTTGGCGATCCCGAGAGGTATTCGACCGTTCTTCTCAACCTACTTCAATCTTCAAATGCACGTTAAGGAACCCACGTGGACAACAGACACCACCTTCACTACGATAGACTATGTTTGCTCTAATCTTGATTGTAGTTTTACTGACCCTGGCCTCTCAGATCACAGTACTATTATAGCTTCATTACCCCTGAAAGTTAAGCCTATTCAAAACCATATAAGAAGCAAGGCCGAATATTTAGCAGATCCACTTCAAGAATTCCATCTTACTCTGAGTAATGTCATAGATAAATCTTTTTCCCTAAAGGCCCCTTTCTAAACAGGGTAACCAAAAATATTGGATGACAAAGGATTTAAAGATTTCTGCAGCTAACTTAAGATCTTTAAATCTCATAAGAAAACACTTTGTTGATAGTCCTTTTATCTTGAACTATTATCTCAAATATAGAAAACTCGAATGTTGATCCATTGAGTTATCTCGGAGACTTGCATGTCAGTGTCAACGAGTCTTTTTCATTTTTTCCCACCGATGTCCATGAAGTAGGATCTGTTCTTATACACAGCCGGTTCAGATGGTATATCCATCAAAGTCTTGAGGGAACTTCCGGAACAGGCCCTTGGTGTTTTATCGGAAACAATCAGCCTGTCCTTTTCATCGGGCATTTTTCCACCAAGTCTCAAGGACGCATTGGTAGTACCGATACATAAGGGCGGGGATACCAAAGAGCCATCAAATTATCGCCCAATATCATTGTTATCAACAATATCCAAAATTGTTGAGAAGCTTCTCAAAAAACGTATGATGGACTTCCTATCAAAACATAAAATTCTTAACTCCGCACAAATTGGATTCCTTCCTAAGTAAGGTACCCATGATACCATGTTTCACGTTCTGGAACAACTCCTGAAGCACTACAACAATGGCTTTGCTACCGCGGGGGTGTTCTGTGATTTCTCAAAAGCCTTTGACTGTGTGAGTCACAGAACTCTTCTGAGGAAATTAGGGGTCTAGGGCTTTAGAGGTGTGATCTCGAGGTGGTTCGAATCATATCTTTCACATCGCAGTCAGCGTGTCACCTTGGAAAATGTTTTTCTGATCATCCAATCGTCCGTGTGGTTCCACAAGAATCAGTCCTGGGACCAATATTATTCCCCATCTATATCAATGATCTTCTCTACATTGATATATCGGGAGTCTTCACTGCGTTCGCGGATGATTCAACGGTTGTGTGGAACGGGAGAAGTTCTGGTGAGCTGGTTTAGGTGATTTCTGGGGACATCAGGGCCATTAAGTGTTGGTGTGATGCAAATGAACTGCTTTTTAACTTTGGTAAGACTCGGGTGCTTGGGTTCCGATGTAATGATGATATTGATTGTGACGAATTCTCCATCAAATTCTCTCTAAATACTAAATTTCTTGGACTCCAACTTGACGTTGATCTTAAATTACAATCGCATGTCACTGCACTTGGCGGGAAACTTGCTTCTGGTTGCTACTGTGTCCGAGCTGTGGCCACAAATTTGGATGCAACCATAGCAAAATCAGTGTATTTTGCATTGATACAATCCTACCTTTCCTATGAACTACCTTTTTGGGGCTGTTGTAGCCAATACCTGTTTCAATCAGTGTTCAAATTCCAGAAACGAGCAGTGCTGGTGCTTCCTCGGTAAAAAACTGCAAACCCTTATTTAAAAAATTTAACATCTTAACATTGCCATGTCTTTTTATTCTTGAATCGGTAAGTCTCTTACATAAACACATTATCTTCGTTCCCTGTACACCACACGACAGACGCACAATATACTCTTGTGAAGAACTCAATAATTTACAACAGTGTGAAATTCTATAATCACCTTCCTGCAACTATCAGAAACATCTCAGATATTTCACGGTTTTGAAGCTATTTGAGAAGCACTCTACTTCAACAGTTGATGAGTTTCTAAGTGTCTCTATATAGGACTAAAGCGTTCCTGATTCTGTTGCATGCATGTTATATTTTGACTTAACTGTCGTTGTATTTATCCTAGAATTGAATTGAATTGAATTGAAATCAGATACAAAGTTATAACCGTAAAAACTCAAAGTAGTCTTAGGTCAGTTTTAAAATGTCGAACACATCAAATAAATTAATCACGATAATTCTACTGAGATTTCCATTTCAATAAATAGTTTTCAGCTAAACGCAAGTAGTATTTTTGGAACATAAGTGAGAGTTTATCTGGCACTTAGATGTTCCGGGCATTTAATTTAATAGCGCTATTAATAGCAGGCGAAATAAAACCTGTAGCTAAAGTTCAATATGTTTACTTATAGTAGACAGTGATAATGTGGCCAGCTGAATCAATTATTACCTACTTCATGAATTTAGTTAAAAATCAAATTTGGTCCCTTGTAAATACATATTAATCTCTTCTGATTTAGATAAAAACGATTAATTCTTATCTATCGATTTATTGGAACAAAATATGAAAGTTATACAAAACTGCCTCATTCAAAAATGAGATGCATTTATCGTTATTCTAATAAAAATACATTTTATCCTTGTCAAGAAATGTATAACAAAATAGAACAACATAATCCATCCTAATTCTAATGAAACTTTCCTTTGTTTTGTTTCAGATATAGACAGAGTAGGTTTAATGCTAGAAGAATAAGAAAAAGGGTGGTCTTCAAGCATGGAGATTGTAACGTAGTTCAAGGAAATGTAGCCAAAAGAAGAAGAAGGTACTTACAGGTACTAGTTTAAAAAAAAAAAAACCTATGAACTGTTTAATAAATTTCATTATTTTTAGGATATTTTTACAACATTAGTTGATGCCCAATGGCGATGGACCCTTTTAGTATTTGCAATGAATTTTTTTTTATCGTGGCTCTTATTCGCGCTCATCTGGTGGCTCATAGTATTTACTCATGGAGATTTAAATATCGAAGAACAATATGTGGTAAGAAAAACAAAAAAACCTCAGTCAGTTTATATGTCATTTAAATTTTTCTAGAACGGAACAGAAGTAGCACCTCCAACCCCTTGTTTGACTGGTGTGCACAGTTTTACCTCAGCTTTCCTTTTTAGTGTTGAAACTCAACATACCATTGGATTTGGTTCTAGAGCTACCACTGAAGAATGTCCGGAAGCAATTTTTGTATTGTGCATTCAAGCAATTGCAGGTAAAAACTTATCGGTGATAATTTTCAATATTTGGTTTTGACTTTAAAATCATTTATAGGAGTGATGATTCAAGCCTTTATGGTAGGCGTAGTATTCGCCAAACTGTCTAGGCCAAAAAAGCGCACACAAACGCTATTATTCTCGAGAAATGCTGTGATTAGTCATAGAGATGGTATACCTTGTCTTATGTTTAGGTGAGTAACAACGATAAGGATGATAATTTGATTTTGGGCTCCTAATGGAGACTAAATTCATGAAAAATACTATTACATTGTTATATTTCAGAATAAATTTGCAGTCTGCTGTCTAAGAAAACAATGTAGACGTGAATTTATTGAAATTTTTCTTTAGCAGTCTAATAAATTTGAAATGTTATTCGTGACTGTAAACAAAGTTAGGGACGTTTATTTTTAGCTATTGAAAATATTTTTTCGAATCACATTTTTTGCAATCCACAATTTGTAATCAAGTGATTTTTCTCTGATGGCCAATCCTAAGTAAAATATTCTCAATTTTTAGGGTTGGTGATATGAGAAAAAGTCACATTATAGAGGCGCACGTCAGAGCGCAACTAATCAAGCACAAAGTTACCAAGGAAGGTGAACATCTGCCCTTTTTCCAAACCGAACTGAAGGTAAAGGTAATGACTATTTATTTTTATTAAATTTTAAACTAATCAGTAACAGAAAGCTAAAATAGTGAATGGTATTTGAATAACTTCTTTTTTTTTATCAGGTTGGCGGAGATGGTGATGAAGACAAAATATTTTTCATATGGCCAACAACCATCGTTCATAGAATCGACAGCAGATCGCCATTGTACACCATGTCAGCCACTGATCTGTTAAGGGAAAGATTTGAAATTGTTGTAATTTTAGGTAAAACGTTATTCCTTTACTAATATTAAGGCTGTTATTAGTGATCAATTTGAATATTCTTCCATATAAGACATGTAAGGTAATAAGGCCGGGCAGGTCATAAGGCCATCCTGTTTAAAATGCCATTAGAATAAATATTTCATACATAATGTAAACTTGGCCCTATTACCCGATAGTACCTTAATACATAGTGATTTATTGAGAAAATTATGGCTAAAGCCTCTCTGTCCATTTGTCTATAGTAACGTTCACTAGCTGTTAATGATATTGAAGCTAAAGCTATCGGTTTTGCTACACTACACCATCTTTAATATTGTCGTATCTACGATAATAGGGCATCTCCCTTCGGTTAACTTAACCCAATCGTCTTCCAGAAAAGCTTCATGGGTTGCAGGGCGTGATTGCTGATTATAACAATTAGCGGTGAATTGTCGTTGACCTTCCATGGGTTTAGGTTCCTTGTACAAATTATTAATTCAATAATTCGTTCTCCATATTATCCTAAATACAACAATATGTGATAAAACACCTGCAACATCTGTAGGACTTGCATCACAAACTAGAATAACTGGTAAATTTGGGTCAAATAGGGTCAGAACACGATAACTCGCTATTTCCTGCTTCAACTTCATGAATGCTGCCTCACAGGAACGATCTCAATAGAACTTTTTGTTCTTTTGAAGTAGTTTTCGTATAGAATAAGTCATTATTTATGATGAACTGGGTACGATTTGAGAATAATATGTGAGCATACCAAGAAAACGACGAACTGTGCTCTGAGAAAAATATCAGCAACATTAGCTTTACACGCTCACGGCGATATAAAATCGCAGTCCAAAGTAGCGTAGCCACATACTCGGAAATAGATTGATTTTCACATTGGTAAGTTGATACAAATCCATGCTGAGAAACCATAACATTTTTCTTGGGGCATAGGTGCTTTTCCAGATACTCGATTAACTCATCATAGGTGGATTCATACTATAGCGATTGTTATTAGATCAATAATACTATTATTCGGGTTTTGGAGTTTTAGACTCGTTATACTTTCACGTAGTGTCGAATGGAATCTTTCGATTGGACTATTCGAGTTCGGGTTTCTTGGAATTGTGTAATGAAACTCAATTTTGTATAATGTACAAAGATCTGTCATTATAGCATTTTTGAACTCTTCTCCATTATCTGATGTGATTTTTTGAGGTATTCCATGATCACTAAAATATTTCAATAACTGTGATGATATCTCAACAGCTGTTTTCCTATTAACAATAACAGGAGAGGCTTGACGAAATTTTGAAAAGCTATCAATATTGGTCAGAAACTTCTGGTTATTGATTATATACTGTAAGTCGTAGATCCTGAAGCATTCTTGAGCTTCAGATAATTCTCGAACCGTTGCCTGTAACTCTTGAAATCTTCATCTGAGAATAAAAATTCTCGAATGGGGACAGAAAAGAAGCGGAATTCATACCTGATGAATTTGTCGTTTGTCCTCGAATTTGTTGAAGTATGGTACTTTGTACTGTAAAACTAGCAGTCAAAACAGACATAAATTGCTTGAATTGGTCTTCATTCATCTTCTATAGTCTTTGTTTTGTCCTCGTTGCCAGTTTCATAGAATCTTTTCTTATTTGATATGAAATAAAACCAGACTATATTATATTTATCAAAGTCAAAAACCAACATTTAAAATTACTAGTAAATACCTCACAACATACCTTGAAAACAAATATAATAGGAATATAACACATTTTTTTAAAAATATTTACCAATTTGTTTATATTCCAGAAGGTGTAATAGAATCAACAGGGATGACAACCCAAGCCCGTTCCAGCTACCTTCCCTCAGAAATCTTATGGGGTCACAGATTTCAGTCTCTGATAACATTCAAAAAAGATTCTGGAGAATATGAAGTCGATTATGCTCAGTTCAACAATACCATTCAAGTTGATACGCCACTTTGTAGTGCCAAGGAACTTGACGAACACCGAGCTGCTTTTAGTGCTGACGGATCAGGTAGGTAAATTAATAATTTTCAATTAACACTTTTTGACTTTTTCTGATTGCAGAAAAGAAATCAAACTTTCTGACAATAGAAACTTGTGGTAAGATTGGTGTGGCTTTGCTTACTAGAGCAATTTCATGCCGCTTGCTTACATTTGCAAATTGTAGTAGCCTCCCAAGTGTGAAAAAAAAAACACTAACCAAATATTTTTTCCAGATCACGTTAGATCCAGTGCCTTCCCCTCACTCCGAACCCATTCCAGTGATAGCCTCTCAAGTTTAGATTCAATGCTTATAGATGAAGGTCATATTGAAATGAAAATACCTCAACACTACGACATGAAATCGTACCTCCCCAAAATCGAGAGTCATCCAAATATGAAATTCCAGGGCAAAAATGGCATCAAGAAAGATTGCGTTATCAACATGGACTATAACAAAACTGACAGTGGGCATTTTAGTCGTATAGACAGTCATGTGGACATGAAAACTATGCCCAATATACATGAAGATGAGGCTGAGAGTTGTAATAGTAGCTGTTTGGAAATGAAAATTGCGGTACCATCTATTAGTGTAACAAATTCGGAACCGGATGAAAATAATCCTTTATTGAATGGGGATGGTAATGATTTGAATTACTCAATTCAGGTTGTTTAATTTAAATTAACTCATAAGACTGGTTGGTGATTAATTGATCTTGTGGTGGTATACTGTATACTATTTCCAAAATAAACCCAATTTAAGGTACATAATAAAACCTTAATGGCTTCGGAGTATTAATCTTAAACAGTAGTCAAAAAACAGATTTCTCAGCATATTTAATTCCAGCAGCCTACCTTTTATTTTCGATAATTCCATTGTGCAGTGCAGTAGTATTATTATTTGCTATTATAAGTATGTATATTGTAAGTAATTAATGAAAATGTCTTCCTTTTCTACCAGATATGACCGTTTGTGAGTGCTATAGTTAATAGGTAAAATTTAGTTTTAGTTCGTAAGTGTTTTTTTGTTACGAAAAGTGATCCCTAAGATTTTAAGTATTTATTTTTCACTCTAATTAGTTTAGGTAGTATAGTGTATGTATGAAAATACAATAAAATTCAACGTCCGACTTATTCAGTGTTTAGTGTTTTATTTCATATTTGCTCTATTTTAGCGAGACGATAATTTGACCATAGTTCAGATGGAAATGGTTTGCAAATTAGGTATTAGTTTTTCAAAGATCCGGGCACTGATCCAGGTTATCCATTGATCAATTTTCTGGTTTTCAATTTCAAATTTCTGAAAACCAATTAGGTAAAGTACCCAATCGTCTAGTTGAAGTTTTCACTGTATATTAGATATCTAAATCAAAATCGATCTCTGAGCAAATAAATCTGCTGAATGAAACTGGACATGTCAAATAGTTCAGTTGACGGAAACAGATGGATAAAGAAGAGGAAGATCACCTACCCAATTCTTTGCATGATGATGATCCAATGATGATAAAATAAACACTAATACAGAAAATGTGTTATATTTTATATAAAAATAAATAAAACGTATCTATATGCAGTAAATAATCTAAGTTCTTGTCTAAAAGTTCTATCAAAAAAACAAAAAAAAAGCTTCTCCTTTAAAATAATCAATTCTGCACTAATGAGTATTAATATACTTTATATAGGAATTAAAAAAATAAAAATTTACCTATAACCTACATACATTACAAGCAATGAGAATAATCTGAAACTTCTTGTTTCTTGTATAAGGTAGGTATTACATTTGATCAGATTTAAATTGCTCCAATAACACCTTCAAATCTTCTTTCAACTTTTTGAGCTGCTGTTTTGCTTCAGTAATGTCTGGAGCTAAATTTTGATATCGGCTCAAATCCTTCAGCAAACCATCCTTCTCTTCTCGTAAAGATTTAATAATATTAATCTGTTTTTCAATGTTCATTAAATCATATTCTGGCTGCTGCAACCACGGATATTTCTTCTCGAATTTCAACAGCTCGTCTTCGTATTTTTTCGCTTTTTCTTCCAATTGTTTTAAATCTTGCGAGTGCATTTGCTTGATATTTTGTCTCGAAAGTTCTAACTCGTTTTCCAAAAGTTTCAGTTGCTTTGTTAGATTCTCATTTAGATTGGAATAGTGTCTGATGCAAATTTTGAGTTTCGAGGCGTAATCCTGTTGTTTTCTGAGCACTTCGGCATGTTCCAACTCGACTTTGTCCAAGCTACTGTCTTGTACTTTCGGCTCGAGTTTTTCAACCTTTTCCACCAAATTCATTAGGCTCTCTGGTAATTTTCGCTCGTCGTTTAACACTTTTAGGTTTTCGAAAATCACTTCCATTTTCGCATTTTCTTCTTTGTAAAATTGGGCTCTTCGCTTGATCAAGTTGCAATAGATTTGTAGTTGTTCTTTGTCCATTTTACTGGGGTTTTCGCCATTGCCATCACTCATTTTTTATTAAAACTAAATAAGTGTAATATAAGGTAATTAATTCTTTGCTTTATATGAATGTAGAATTAATAGGAAAAATCGTTTCAATTTCAAAAATAAATACAACAAAATTGAAAAAGTTACATGTAACCTTAACCTCACTCTTCTTTTTATTAAAAAACCTTTTAGCCTGACGTGTAGCAGAGGGAGACAGATATATTGTAGGAAACATTTGCGCGAATAGCAATGATTCTACAACGTTTATTAGGAAAATTGAACCAGAAGGAGCAACTATGATAGGGCGTTATTTTTTAGAATAATGCCCTAGGAAATTATTCGTATTTAACTGACCTTAACACAAAGTCATTATTTCTCGAATAATATACCAGTCGGAAATAATTTTTACCTACTTTGGTAGGAAATTTTAATGCCTTCCAAAAATACATTAAGGAAAAGTACCCAGTTGTTGACATGTTAAGGGTATCCTTGCTTATGATCACCACACATATTTTCCAAATTTTCAATCCCAAGGCTATGATATATTTTTTAGCGTGATTTCAAACTCATAATTGAATGTGTAGATACATTATTTACTCTATATATTCCTATTATTTGTGTTATTATGCCAAAAATACCCGAAAGGTGATAAAACCCCAATAGGTGACACCCAAAAAAGTTCACTGCGCCAAAAGTTGACACATTTTTGATCCAAAGGTTGACATATATTTTTTTACAAAACCAAATTTTTACTTTTAGGAAATTTTATCACGGTCTGTGGAACTAAGAGGTATATTTTTCTAAGTGTACAATTTTTTAAATGAAATATATACACATAATAACCAGTTATTTTAATTTTTTTTAAGTACATGTTGTGGTTCCATTACTTGACACTCTTGAAACCAATAGTTGACATGTTGCCTGTATCAGTAGAAACCCTGGTAGAAACATCAATAATGTAAGAATCAAACTTTTTATGAATAAAAAATAACATTGGGAAACTTTTTGTTGCGAAAAAAATACAAATTTCAATTCCAAATTGCTAATAAAAGAAATTGCTTGGAAAGCATTGGTACAATGTGTTTTTTTGCTGCTTTTGCTGCAGTGAGCCCCCTATCGCAATCATCCAATGCAGCAATCACGTCTTCTGGTAGTTCTGGTGCATATTTCCGCAATTTCCATTTTTCATGCGTCATCTCTTGATTTAAACTTGAAAGGACCAATTGTTGACACTCCAAAGCTCCAAATCTTGACAGGGGTAACAGGGGTGTCATCTTTTGGATCTACGACCGTTACATTCCCCAAACCCATATCTAGGTTTCTTTTTAATCCAGAGCAATAAAAAGAGACAGACTACAATGCTAAAATATTTTTACCGCCAAAAATCCATGTTGACACTAGTGTCAACATTTGGATCACCCCTCGATTTGGGCTTCAATAGTTGACACCCCCCCTTAAAAAGTTTATGCCAGTTGTTTAAGAGATAAAACAATAATAAATATGTATTACAATGTATCTTATTATACAGTAAATATATATTATTCATAATTTATCAACCCTACCTTAGCTTTGAGAACTTTTGTTTTTATATCTTCTTAACTATTTTCACTAGAAATCTGGGAAAAAATTCAAACATTTGCACCTGTTCACTACTTCTTGCCACAATTTTGAAAAAACTTGTCATTTCAAATCCATACATTAGCTATAGCCTGAAATATGGCTCCAACAATATTATAAGCTATTTCAGTTAGCTTATAACCTATATAAATTCTTATTTTCGGGAATAATATGCTAATGTGTCAACTTTTGGGACCCTGTCAACAACTGGGTACTTTACCTTATTCAATATCCTCATTAGATAAGAGAAGATACGCTGGAAATAATAATTATTCCATCTGAAATGCAAATACATAATAGGAAAGTAAATATTTGAATTTGCAAAGTACTGAAGTTCTGGAAAAAAGTCTCAAAACTTTTCGCAGTCATGCCTAATGCAAATTATTGTTAATCTACTGGGTTTTATCGCACATGCAAAACGGATATGCAAACATACTGCATTATTTATTCTTTATCTCCTACATACATATTAAATTCTCGGTGTTGCCTGATTTTAGAAACACATTTCGCTCAATGCAGCAAGTAATTTAAAATTATGGCAAACTCACCCCAAATTGCTTAACACGATTTTATTTCTGAAATTATAGGTCCAAATGAGCTGAAAAAATCAGGGATTGTAGTCCTTGGATTGGGACAGAATTCAGCTTTCTATCTATAATAGAAAAAAAGTTATGACCTTTCAAATTTTTCCAAAATCTAAATCATAAGGTAGGTACCTTCTTACTAAAACGATGAAATTTCAAATTTTTTTTGTTGAGATTTTGTATCCCAGTGGTCAATCAACATCCCCCAAACTCCATACACTAAATTATTCGCAGATTTGAAGCCGAAATCTATGAAAAAAGGCACTGAGAAAAATTGAAAAATTATAAATCACCCCAAATTGCTTAACACGATTTTATCTCAGGAACTATAAGTAAAAATGAGCTGAAAATTTCAGGGATTGTAGTCCTTTGATTGGGATAAAATTCAGTGAAAGTTTCAGCTTTCTATCTATAATAGAAAAAAAGTTATGACCTTTCAAAGTTTTCCAAAATCTAAATCATAAGGTACTAAAGCTATGAAATTTCAGTATTGGTCCTTTGGGATCGTCCAACATTTTGTAAGTATGTATCTTGAAATACCAAGTTACTATTATAGAATAAGTTTATGTTATGGGATTTACGAACAAAGATCTGGCAACCTAGTTAAAAACATTATCAACACCCGCATGCATATAACAAAAATCAATCATATAATGAGGTAAACCATCCTTATATACAGGAAGTAAGTGAAGAATTTATTCCTGAAACAAATTAAGTATTTCTTATGAGTTAAAATATGAATTCAGAAAATTGCGAAAAAGTGATAGATTCTACAATAATAGATATTTGTAAAAAAAAGAGTAGTAATAAGTAAGTACCCTGGTAAGTTATCTTTTTATTTTGGGAGCAAGGCATTTTTGAGGATGTATCTACCCGTCTACCAGAAAAATTAAACATGGATATCATACACTAATTTTTTCATTAACATTGTTTGAATTATATTAAAAAGAATCCGCAATACAAATTTTGCAACAGCAAACATTTGTTTCATGTTTTAACTTTTTGAGAAAGAGTCCACAAAGAGTCATACAAGCATAAGAAATTAATGAGAACTTTTTTACTTGACTGACATTTTCCTGTCACTCAATGATATTTCAATTTCACAGTCACCTTTTATATCAGTTAATTTTTCAGAATGGCAATCAGACAGTCGCAATCGTATAACTACGACTTTCATATTCCGAAGCTGGAAAAAAGGAGGGCGAGTGCTTTGGTGGACGAATTACTGCTAGAAATTTACAACACCGTTCATAATGGCACGACCGATTATCTCTCGACTTCAGGCAAAAGCCAAAAAAACTGTTGCATTAATCTTGTTGATTTGCAGGATAAAAGTAGGAAATTGTTATTTTTTGCTGTAGATTTTTGCAACTAAGTATCTATTACAGATGTAGCTGAACTAAGTGCGATCGTTGTTTGCTTAAATGAACATTTAGCGCACACTGGAAGCGTCCTGGTACGTCAATTAAAGCGGCGTGATTCTCTTCGCCGTCAGCAACAGGCCCATTGTGATGTTATCTCAAGAATACTCAGTCACCGTAAGTGATTAAAAAAAAAAAATTCCATAAAAAAAACTATTATAAAGTAATTCAAATAGGTGTCCTAGCTGATATAAAATTTACAATTCAACCATCTACATTAGAAGGTTTAGCTTTTACACAATGGAAAGCTGCTATGAAAATAGTGGCCCAATTACCTAGTGGAATCCCACCAGAATTTAGAAAGCATTTATGGATTACCATGGCTGAACGATATTTACATTCAAAAAAGGTAATAACCCAGGCTAATTTCTAGTTAAAACTATTTCCTATTGCAGATCAATTGGTCCCAAGTGGAGAGAATGTGTTTCAGTGAATGGTCCAGTCCAGCAGATGCCGAACTAGACATACAAATCGTTAAGGACTTACACAGGACTGGATGTAATCTTTTTTGTGGTGACTGTCATAATCAGGCTTTGTTGAAAAAAGTCTTGCTGGGCTACGCCAGGTGGAACAAAGCTGTTGGTAATTCTGAATACATGAATATTGAAACCTCTCAATGCAAACAGAAAAGTAATCTTTTTAGGATATTGTCAAGGTTTTAATATATTAGCGGCCTTCATACTTCAAGTAACTGAAAAATGCGAAAGTGATGCTTTGAAATTGATGATCTACCTCATAGAGGGAGTTCTGCCTGATTCATACTTTGTAGAAAGTCTTCGTGGTTTGTCAGTTGATATGGCTGTATTTAGAGAACTATTAAGAAGTAAACTGCCAAAGCTTTCAAAGCATTTGGACGAATTACAAAACGATGGCATCATGAGCTATGAACCCCCATTGACTAATGTTTTTACCATGCAATGGCAAGTGTGCAATACATAAATCATGCTTTTAAATGAAGATTTTTTTTTCAGGTTTTTGACAATTTTCTGCAACTGTTTACCCCATAATGCCGTCCTGCGCGTCTGGGACCTTATTTTAATCGAAGGCAACGAGTTTCTTTTTCTTACAGCCTTGGCGATTTGGCAACTCCTAGCCCAAAGAATTCTTTTGGTCAGAACAGCAAATGAGTTTTATGGCCTCATGGCAGCACTGACTAGTGAACTTTTAGAATCAATGCTTGTTGATCCTGATAATCTTCTTGAAGGGATCATTGCTATTGGTCCAATAGTGGAGTTGAAAAGTCTAAGGGAGCATTATTTGTACAATATAAGACCTTGGGGGACTCATATGTCAGCGCATACATTGAAAAAAGTATTCTATCTAAAGAATGACATCTTTGCTGAAATTCTAGAAATTTATTTTCAGATTAATTTTTACCCTAAAGAAGATCATAGTAAAATATTAATGGACATTAGTGCTTTACAAAAACAATACCACAAACTGAAGCAGCGTCAAAGACAGACGCACATAATATTTTCAGCAGCTGTAAATAACCAATCACCTTCAACAGTTGAGCCAGTGGCCATGAATCATCTTCTAGTAGGAAAAAGTGCCCTAGGTAAAACATTGAACTTTATGTATTTTCAAAACAAACAACTTGATTATCCTTTCAGGCCCTTCTAGGCGTACAGGGCCTTTGAAAGGTAGTATACCACCTGCCCGTCACAAACAAGTGCTTCAACAAAGAACCTTACATTGGAATCAGGTTGTCATACCAAAAAAATCAGTATTTGTTCAAATACAAATACAAAGACCCACTTCTTCTAGTTCTAGTGATACTGAACTTTGTGATCAGGAAAATGATGAAATCCAAAGCTCAAATGTAGAAGGTGGTGGAGACACAATAATAAAAGACCTAAATAAATCCAACATAGTCACTGATTCATCTATTGTTAATAATGAGAGGATAACAGCTTATCTAGAAAATAATTTACCAAATTCTGAAGATAAAAATGATGCTGAATTTGAAGAGTTCTTATTTGACCGTCTAAAATATGATACAGCTAGTAAAAGAAATAGCCAATTAACATTACAAATTATACAAGAAAATTCACAAATTTTGCAAAGAATCATGGAATGCCAGTCTAGATTTTCTTCCCCATCCTCAGATACAATTGAAGCACGACTTTTTGGAGAAAATTATTTTAATTTGAATAATAATAACGTTGATACTTGGCTCAAAGGCATGAATTTAGAAGAGATGTGCAGTCAAGAAATTGATAATTTTTTAATGAGAAGTTTTGATAAAGACAAAGCTGAAACATCTTGTTCCAATCAGGACCTTTTAGAAATTGAAAAAGCAAGTGTCAGTGATTCTCTATGCAACACATCAAAAAATGAAGATGAAAATGATTCAGCTATAGGTTTACAAGATTTTTCAACAACAAGCAATTTGATTGATTTAAATGACAATGAGTTAATTTCTCAAGAAGATGAAAACTTTCATGTCTGTGATACTCTTCAGACTGACTTCAATAAAAATAAAACTTGTCTTAATTTAGACTTTAGGGTGGCAAACAATGAAAAAACACATACCTCATTGCCAGACAAACCTGATCTTGTGGGTTTTGACCCATTTCCAGTACAGAGAAAATTAAAGCCAAATAAAGTAGTAACTATGAAATTGGGTTTATATAAGTGATATTTATCTTCTATAGTTAATTATAATAATAACAATCTAAACTTGGGCGTTTCTTGTATTATTTCATGTTGAAATAAATAATTTTTCAACTATTATGTTTATTATAGAGAATCCAAAGTTTCTGAATAATGAAACATTATATTTCAGGTCAACAAAAGGCCTTTACCTATAATATATAAATTCCTATTTACAAAATGCAGTCATTGCCATTTGGTTTTCTTTTCACGCTGAAGATTGTCTATAGTTCTTGGTGCTCATCAGTTTCTTTCCGCACATTGCACAAATGCTTTTTTTGTAGGCACAGGCTTGACAATAGTGAGAACCTGCTTGGTGTGTTTTTTGACGGCAAATTCTAAAAAAAAAAAAAAATATTAAGGGCCAAATTCCAAATTATGGACTAACTGGTAAACGTCTGGTTGTTACCTAGCAGGTACTTTCTTTGCTCTAGAGAATAGAAAGTACCTACTAGGTAACAACCAGACACTTACCAGTTGGTCCATAATTTGGCCCTAATATAAATATTATTTAATATTCACAATCTGTAGTCCAAAGGTACAGGTGAAATCTATCACATTTCAATGCTATTTGAATTATTTGATAGGGAAAGGTGATAAATCTACCTGTACCTTTGGACTACAGATTGTGAATAGGATATATTCAGGCCTATGATGTATCATTCTCTGTTATTTCAACAGCCACGTTAAGTTATCTGTCACTGTTTATTCTATACGTCAAAATAGAGACAGCAATAGATGTTGAGCCATAACACAGCCGTTAAAATAACAGGACCCGATACATCATAGGCCTGATTATGTATATCTGAAATCTGTGTGATTCTAATATCGTCCAATTCAATTCCAGTATTTCAAGTTTCTTACCTGCAAGTTTCGAATTTTGTTGTGTAGGGATTGAATCTGTTTTTTGCTGCAGTAAGCGCCTTGTTCTCATTTACTTTTCGTCCTCCACTTTCTGTGGTGTTTCTGGCCCCATTTTTCCATGGATCCGGTGTGATAACGGTACCGACTTTCTTTTGACACTTATCACAAACCATTATTTAGTATTTTTAGTTATTAGGAACAGTACTTTATTCAATATACAAGTTATTTCTATTTCTCAAATCTCAAGTCCTTTTAAAAATTAAACTTATTTATTTACAAATAAACCTTTGTATTCATTTGACAAGCAATTTGACATTGACATAAACCTTTTTCTTAGGTGCTTTCTTTTCGGAGCTTTGAAACCTCGGGCTTCGACGCTCTGGGGCGCGTCAGCGCACGCTCTGAAAAGAACGGTAATTAAAGGACATATAGGGCCAAATTACAGTATATTTGCATCTGCAAATTTGCAGTCCTGCAAATATGGCCGACTTGCATATGTGCTCTATTTGCAGAAACGAGCAAATTACAGAAAAAATCTGCAATTTCGTCATATTTATCGGAAAAAAGTGTTTGGGCGCTACTGATTTACCAGTTTTAAATGTCAAAGTTGTCAAAGTGATTGCAAGGACTTGCGGCCCTTGCGGGACCGTTCCACCATGTGTAAATTTGCAGGTGACCTGCAAATATATTCTGCTACTTATACAAAAAGTCAGACTTGCAGGTCCTGCATTTGTAACTGGATGTTGCAGAGCTTCTGTAATTCCAGGCATAAGCCGCTTTCCAGCTGACATTGTGTTTGTGCTTCAAGCATGGTGCAGCACAGTGTTCTGTGTTTGATACGCAAAAATTAGCAGCTCTCGAAGCGCAGTACGGCTGGAACACAAACACGCGCTTGAAGCATTTGCGCGCGCAAAAGCTCGATTGCGTGCTCAAAATAGTCAGCTGGAAAGCGGCGATAATTATCTGACATTAGTGACAGTTCGGACACTGGAGCGCTTTGCTAAGGCGCTAGCGGTGGAGATAAACGACCCCGGGGCTTGACGCCCCGATTGAAAAGAACGGTTGACACATTTCAAAATCATGATCCAGGGCGCCCTGGGGCACCCAAGCCCCTGAAAACAAAGCAGCTCTAATCACATTCACTTTGCGCTCGGTATTTTGCTCAAAGAGCAGAGCGGACCCGTAATCACGTGACCAGCGAGCGCACCGAGCAGTTGAACGCTGTATTAGAGCACTGGAAATTTTAATAAACGAAAGCGAATGAGCTTCACCCAGCACACTTTTTGAATAAACGAACGGTAAATTCAAGCTCCGAGAACTCAGATCAAAATACCGAACGCACAGTAAGGTGTATTCTTTCGAACTGAACAAACTGATCTGAGCAAAATCACTTGAGGTTTGTTTCAAACAACTGTTATCCGGTTTTAAAATGTTTTCATTGGGCCTGACTGTTTTTTTCCCACGTCATAGGCAAACTTTATGTGATTACAATCAGTTTATTCAGATCGAAAGAATACCTTGACTATTCAAATACCCATTCAGGGCTGCTTTCGGGTGCCACCCTTTGAGCACTCCCGAGTTACTCCGAAATACTCCTGGCTACAGTTTGACCCGTTCGGTTTCAAGCGTTCGAGTGCAAAACGCATGGAGTACGACAGGTCACTGACAGAGCCGCTTTCCAGTATGCACATTGGCGCGCTCTAGAGCACCTCGGGGGCGCCACGCACTAGATTTGTACCGTTCCAGTATCATGACGTGAGACGCCCATCTTAGTGTCAAATATGTCAAATTTTAAAAATAATTATCTGTTTGTTTGTGCAGTTTGTTTGTTTGTTCAATCTTGAGATATAACAAGAAATAAATAAATAAATAGCCACTCACGGATGTGACAGCTGACAGGTTGACGCGTACGTACAGCTCGGGGGCTCAACGCCCCAAGTAGCTCCGGGCGTCAAACTCCCATACTGGAAAGCGGCTAAGAGCTGTGAAATGTTCTAGGAGCACCCGAAAGCGGCTCTGGAGTAGATTGGAAGAAGAGGTATTTTTGAAATCCAGAGTAAGGAGTGGAAAGCTTGAACAAAAGCTTTGTTCTCGGATCACATCCGAACCCGAACCGATTAAAAACCTGACATTCATTTTGTAGAGTACTTGTCAGACTTCGTTCAGAACAAAGATATTAGAATTAGTTCTAAATTGAACTATCTACGCTTGCGCGTTTGTTTATTAATGTTCGAACCTTCAGTTGCAAAATCTGAAGTTCGGACATTTACAAATTCTAAACCAAATTTCAACGGTGATACGCAAAATCCACAATTAGGGGCAGTTGTAGGTCCGGAGACGGCTGTTTTGAAACTATTCAGGATTTGGTTTTGCTGTGAAGGATTTGTTTTTCTCGAATACTTTGAAGTAGTTGCCTTGTAGTAGCATGGAGTTGATGCCAAACACTTTCCAAAAACTTGGTTTCATTGTTTCATACCAGAGCTGCTTTCTTTTCATGGGCTTGGGCCCTTCCTGGATCATGATTTTGAAATGTGCCAACCGTTCTTTTTAATCGGGGCGTCAAGCCCCAGGTTTGTTTATCCCAACTGCTAGCGTCTCAACGAGGCCTCGAAACTCCATAGCTCCCGTGTCCGAACTGTCACTAATATCAGATAATTATAGGCCTATTCGGGTTTGGAAAAAGTACGGTTCTAGAACGGTCCAGAAGAATCGCAAAGTTTATTATTGAAATTTATGATAGTCGAGTCGTTGTTTTTTTGTTGATCAATAAACTGTTCGATTGTTTTGAACCGTTCTGGAACGGTCCTTTTTCCAAACCCGAATAGGCCTTTATATGTCTTTAATTACCGTTCTTTTCAGAGCGTGCGCTGACGCGCCCCAGGGCGACGAAGCCCGGGCTTTCAGAACTCTGAAAAGAAAGTACTTCTAAGGGCGGGTATTATAAAACTGCTTTGACAGTTTACTTTAAGTTAACTTTTTGAATTACATGTAATTCAAGAAGTTAACTCTCAAAGTAGTTTTATAATACGTACCCGCCCTAAATGGTGCGATCCTACTCCTTATGTCCGTCCTTACCTGCTCTAAGCTCTGTAAACTCTGAGCGCGCTTGAAACCAGAAGATTCTGTTTGTTTTAGCACTCAGTGTTTTTTTTCGTTCGGGTTACAATTAAGCACGAACCCTGAGCTCGCTCTCTTTTCTCGTTTACTAGTAAAATAAAATTTGCCAATGGATCATCGTAATAGGTCTGTTCGCACAGAAATCACAAACCATTCAGAGTGAATTTCATTGGTTGAAACTACTTTTCTACTTTTCTGACTGTTTTTAACCTCAGAGGAGTGTGTTCGAAAAAGGTTTAAGCGCCGGTTTCTCAATAGAGAGTTCTCGAGCTGTCGAAATTTCAAATATCGTAACGCTATTTAACAAGTATGACAGTTCCGGTATTAGCGTTAGCGGAGCCCGCTACCTAACGCGACTTAGCGAATGCTATACCGTAACGCTATATGTATTATGTCAAAATTAGTTTACGCTCCATTTACGTCTGCAATAACAGCAACTTCTGATAATTCCTGCATGATAAACACCAACGGTAAATGAATGAAAGTCAGGAAATTACAGGATTAATAAAAATTAGAAAACAGACAGAAAAGGTTGGGTTAGATCACTCAACTCAGTTATCAAAATGTGAACAGAATAAGGGATAAAGTATTTTTGTGTCTCCGTATCCGAGAACTATAAAATACCATGTAAAATACCGTATTGTTGATGGTACCGTATTAGCCTAGCGTCTGAGGCACTAGAACTTTCTAGCGAGTCACCTCCGGGTTGGTTTTAACTCCACGGCATGTCCAGTTGCACTAGTTGTATTCCTTTCAAGAGTTCAAAACACCAGAGCTACTCGCTCCGGTATTACTCGACCCTGATTTGAAAGAAACAGATGCGCTGGCTTTCATACATTTATGGTTTAAGTCGAGGTTGAGCACTCAGGTGCAACAAACACTTTTCGAAAGGAGATAGCGCGTAACGCCCTGGAGCTGTTCCGGAGTTCTCCGTGTGAAAGAAATACGACTTATGTTTACCCCGGAGTTATGCTTAACCCGGGGGTGACTCGCTATTGAGAAACCCGCCCTAAATTTTACCTAATGGTGAGAGTGGGTGTATATATATGGTTAAGTGGTCAGAATAGTAAATTTTATGTGTGCTTTCGAACACACTGGTGTATAAAAATTTTATTATTTTATTATTTATTTTAATTATAACTTAACATATAAATATAACATTTAGGCCCAGTGTTCTTCATTTATCTGTTTGGGCTTATTATCAACAACCACTTCCGGGAAATGGAACATGGAATAGATAAATCTGAAAGTATTTGTAGATTTAACCGTGCGTTCGTTATTTTGGTCTGAGTTCTCCGAGCTTGACTTTACCGTTCGTTTATTTAAAAAGTGTACTCGGTGCAGCCTCATTCGCGTTCGTTTATTAAAATTTCCGGTACTTTTATACAGCGTTCAACTGCTCCCTTCGCTCGCTGGTCACGTGATTACGGCTCCGCTCAGCTCGCTCTACACTTTGAGCAAAATACCGAACGCAAGGTAAATAATGAAAAACTGACAAGAATGACAGCAGTGAAATTTACCCAGCGGCAGAGTTGGTTAAGAAAGAGTGCAAACTGGGTAGCACCGCGAATATCTTCGAACTAGCGTGAAAGTCAACCGGAGTATGTTTATACCAATTCATTTTCAAACGGCTGGACTGATTTTGAACGCACTCCAATGGTTTTTACCACTGAAATTCGCTCCGACTGGTTTGTGAGTTCTCTAAAAACAAACTTAACATTGCACCAATGCCGCTTTCTAGTATGGGAGTGTGACGCTCGGAGCTACTCGGAGCGTTGAGCTCCCGAGCTATACGTACGGACAAACGTCACGATACTGGAACGGTACAAATCTAGTGCGTGGAGCTCTAAGGGTGCTCTAGAGCGCGCCAATGTACATACTGAGCCGCTTTCCAGTATGGGAATATGACGCTCGGAGCTACTCGGAGCGTTGAGCTCCCAAGCTATACGTATGGACAAACGTCACATGTCATGATACTGGAACGGTATAAATCTAGTGCGTGGCGCTCCCGGGGTGCTCTAGAGCGCGCCAATGTGCATATTGGAAAGCAGCTAATGAAAACGCTATATGGTGGCGTTTGACACTTTTGACAGGGAATCGGGATTAATCTTGTCTAAGGGATTAATTATTAATTGTGGTTATGTGATGTGTGATGAATGATAAAAATGTTATAAAAGGGGGTCCACAGAACAGGAAAATTCTCATTCATTATTCAAACAAACAGAAATAATCAAGAAAAGTCCTCGTAAGACCCAAAGAAAATGTCTGATCGCATGCCCAAAGTAGATTTAAGCAAACTAAACACCAGTGATCGTGAATTTATGCAACGCATTAATCGCGAGAATCTAGAAAGGGTCGCAAATTTGAAGAGAATCAGAAGAAATAACCTGATAACTGCTGGCATTCTAGGCGGTATCGTCATCGGTATCTACTCCTATACTATCCACGCTGTAAAACAAGAAACCTTTTTGGACGATTTCGAAGAGCCAGCAAAAATCACCAAGTAACATGATTAGAACAACTAGTTTAAGATTGCCTCCCTTACCTAGCGTCAGGGACTTAGTTAAGTTATATAGGCTTAAAGCTATCAAACAATTATCTCAAAATTTTCTTATGGATGAGAGAATCACTGACAAAATTGTTCGAGCAGCTGGAAATATTGCAAATCACCATGTATGTGAAGTGGGTCCTGGTCCTGGTAGCATTACAAGGTCCATAATTAAAATGCAACCACATAAGCTTATTGTTGTCGAAAAAGACCCTAGATTTTTACCTTCCTTGGAACTTCTGCAAGAAGCCTGCAAATCTTACACCAACTTACATATTGAAATTGGAGACATTCTCACATACAATATGGAAAAAGGTTTTGAAGGAGCTCAGAAATTTGATTGGACCTATACACCACCCCCTATCCATTTAATTGGCAACCTTCCATTTAGTGTTTCAACTCATTTAATCATTAAATGGTTGGAGTTTATATCACAAAGAGCATCTGCTTGGTCTTATGGTAGAACACCAATGACTTTAACATTTCAAAAAGAAGTTGGAGAAAGAATGGTGGCTCAAATAAACAGCAAACAAAGATGCAGGCTGTCTGTAATTTGCCAGTTATGGTGTAATGTTCAATACAAATTTACCATACCAGGCTCAGCTTTTGTTCCAAAACCAGATGTTGATGTGGCTGTAGTCACATTAGTTCCACTCAAAACACCTTTAATTGATGCCCCATTTGCAATGGTAGAAAAAGTTATCAGGACTATTTTCAATACCAGGCAAAAGTATTGCCAACGAGGAGTAGAAAAATTATTTCCAGAACCTGTGCGCGAAGAGCTAACACAAAAACTATTAATATTATCCGAAATTAATCCAACTACAAGGCCGTTTCAACTTAGCAATGAAGATTTTGTGAGAATAATTTACTCCTACAAGTTGCTTTGTGATGATTATCCTAAAATCATTGACTATAACTATAGAATGCCTAAAGTTGATAGGGATGAATATTTTCGACAATTTGAAGATTCTCTAGGAACTTGTTAATTTTTTATTAGTTACTATAAATTGAATAAAAAAATTTATAACCAAAAATATTTGCATTTAACTTGTCTATTGTCCACAACTGATTGATGTAGATCTTATTAAAAAGCAAAATGTAATCTTACAAGTTACAAATCAGTTGTCAAAAAAATAGAAAATTGCAACAATAACTCATGATGTTGTTTTTGAGGCAATTATCTACAACATTCATGATGCCATCTGCTTGCACTCAACATAAAAACGGGAAAACTCTTCTTGCACAGACCACACAGCATCGGTTGTTCCATTTTGTGTTCCTGCTTCAAATGAGTTAATACTTGTGCGACATTGTCATAATTTTCCCTGCAAAAGCTGCAACTGAAATTTATTTGTGGAAAACTAAGTTGTCCAGTAGTGTTGCCGTTTTCTGCTTTGAAGGTTTTGAGGTATTTCAAATATGCGTTAATTCTTTCGTCTTCAGCTAAAGAGACAAGTGCCACGTCGATTTTTGGAATTATCAATTCTGTATAACCAACATCCCATCTAGATGCCTGGGTTTTAGAAAGTTTCTTGTTTCGGATGTAAGATTGATTACCAATATTGAAAACCACTGAAGTGTTTGACACTATAATTGGCTTGCCATTTCTTAAAATATTCAATTCTTTAATATCATCCAGAAATTCATCAATAACAATTTTGAAACTTTCTAAAATAGCTGGGGTAGAATATACATTCTTCAAAGCGTCTAAATAATCAGTTGTAAATTGCTTTAGGTCATCAAGAGGGTACGCACTTCTTGACTTATGTGGGTCAATAATTTTTTTATCTTCAATGAACGGGCTTGAGGCCGATGGCAATGGGGTGCCAATCAAGCTTACATGTCGGCGAAATTCGTGCAAGTTTCTTCTTGAAAAGGAGAAAATGGGGCTTTTCAAATGAACTCCGATATGAGGCCAGGCTATAAGTTGCTTCAATGTTATGGTTTCTTCCAGTTCCTGATCCCATTCTAATGCTTTATGTTGTTTCAGTACTATATCACCATCTGCATTATCTGTAAAAAAAAAGAAAAATAATTGTACTACGGGTCCCAAATCATTTAGAGACAAAATCCCAACATAAAAAAAATTTGAAATTTCAGCATTTTAGTACTGAGTGAGGTACTAAGGGATGTTTTTAGTTTCTTTTATTGTTCTTCAAGTTTAAACGATTTTGGGTACAGAGTTAATGTATTTAATTTCTATGTACCTAATTTTCACTTTGATCATTTCTTCTTTCAAGTTTAACTAAGAGATGTGATGAAAAGAAATCTTAAATTTAAATTCATCTAGTAATTCTGTTTATATATACTATACACATTTTGAATATTAGGAGGTAAAAGTCTGAAGCATTGCTTAAAGGTACTTGTTGAGGAAATATTTTCTTTCAGCCTTCAGGTTTAAGGTCAACGAATAACCTGTTATGAAAAATCAAAACCATTTGGAATACATGAAAAAAAAACAAAATCTGACTTGTAGATCAAATATTAGGCCTTCCATTAAGTCTGTTTCTGCAGAAATCACAAACCAGTCAAAGTAAATTTCATTGGCTGTTTTCAACCAATGAAATTCGTTCTGACTTGTTTGTGATTTCTACAGAAACAGACCTATTGTGTATCGCACATATGGTAACGCTCATTAAGGCACTTGTTTGAATACAAAAACCAAGACCAAAGCAATATTTCCCACACTTTACTGTAATGTTCATTGCTGTAATGAAGCTTATACCATACTGGCTTTATTCTGTAAAGTGTAATGTGTCCATAATAATATATATTTTAGGTATCAGTTATTTATAGGTACCTGATGATTGTCTATATTTTGCACCCACACCTATCTCACCTGTTTGAAGAGATACTCAGAAATGTCAAATGTGAAAGTTGTAAGTAATATCAGAAAGTTTTCAATGATGTTAGTTACAAGTTGTAGGTACTCTAAACCCCAGAGAATAAAAATTGCTCACAAAACAACCAATTATGTAATAAATAGGAGACTAGGAATGGATACGAGTATATTGAAAAAGTTGTTTTTCTACCTGTAAAGACGATTGTATTTAAAAATACAGGTTTAGACCCGACTTCAATAATAAATGGTGCTACTACTTTAGGAGCCAACATGTCAGTCTGGGAACTCCTATCAGCAAGCTTCTCAAGTACATATCCCTTACGAGTTTCGGCGATTTTCTTTTCTACTTCTTCTCGTTTCATTTCAGCCATAACGACCCTGAAATTAGTCGTTATGGCTTCATTCAGTTTCACTTTGAGATACATGTGGAATTTTTCATACCAAGTTTTGAATTGGATTTTTCCTGAATAATACTCGACGCTTTTTTGCCAACCGGGCCAATTTTTTGTGTAGTAGACGAGCATGTATGGTAAAATGCGTGCCAGCTCTGGTTCCAAGGCGTCCAAGTTTATGTTTAGTTCTTTCCGGATCATCAGCTGAAGCACTTCCAATTCCAAAGAGGCTTGTTTGCGATCGACCAAAGCCGAAAAACATTTTCTCAGACCGTTTTTCTCTTTGGTGTCCGGCCTTTTAGCACTTTTCTTTTTTGGGGCTTCTACTTCTACGGATAGAGAAGTTGAAGCAGTCGAATTGGATGTTGACTGTTCCTGGGCATCTGCTCCTGGTAACACCATCATCGGATTATTTAGTGAAAAATTGTTCGAACTAAAGGTAATTTGGTATAAAAATTGTGGAACGTTTCTATAAAAAACGCGAACAACAACAAAACAGAAAAATTAAAACAAAAACCACCCAATCAAGCTAAACTGACAGCTGACAGAGGGGGCGCGTTCGAAAAGAAAGCAAGTGGTTGTTTGTTGTTGACGCTTCGGGTGCTACCCTTTGAGCGCTCCCGAGTCACTCCGAAGTATTCCGGCTACAGATTGACCCGTTCGGTTGAACAGAGTTTAACGCTCTCGAGCTGCTCGCATTTTTTCGCTTCTTACTCCTGATCACCTACCCTTTTTGGGTTTAGGGCGGGTATTATAAAACTACTTTGAGAGTTAACTTAAAGTTAACTTCTTGAATTACATGTAATTCAAAAAGTTAACTTCAAGTTAACTTTTGGCACCCTCAAAGTGTTTCGGTCCAATATTGAGAAAACTCTGGTGCTAATACGGAATACGGACTCAGACTCCAAGAAACATTACCAAAAAAAAAAAAACATAATCAGCTGATCGCTTAACCCAGCACTTTTGCACCGCCAAGTTTTTAGCAGGTGGTTGGCACCAACTCCATGTTACTACTCCTTTACCTTTAACTGCTCTGAGTTACAGAGTGTAAAGTCAAACTCAGCCTTTGTGTATGCAACAAGTATTTTTACAATTTATCGATTCAGGGAGGGTTTCTAAGTGTCCGAAAAAAACAAATTGTTCACAGTAAAACCAAATCCTGAACTGATTCAAAACAGCCGTCTTCAGACATATAGTTCTAGAACTGCCCCGAATTGTGCGTAGCACCGTTGAAATTCGGTTCAGAATTTGCAAATGTCCGAAAAATTTTTTTTACTTTTTATTTTTTGGTCTCTCTCGCAGGTGTTCTTGTAAGATAAAACTGGAGGTAGACTAAGGGCGGGTATTATAAAACTACTTTGAGAGTTAACTTAAAGTTAACTTCTGGAATTACATGTAATTCAAAAAGTTAACTTTTTGAATTACATGTAAGTCCAGAAGTTAACTTTAAGTTAACTCTCAAGTAGTTTTATAATACCCGCCCTTAGGGCGGCAGTTAACTTTAGGTTAACTCTTAAAGCAGTTTTATAATACCCGCCCTAGGGGCGGATATTATAAAACTTCTTTGAAAGTTAACTTAAAGTTAACTTCGGAAATTACATGTAATTCAAAAAGTTAACTTCAAGTTAACTGTCAAAGCAGTTTTATAATACCCGCCCTTAGACTTCGAACTATAGCTAGAACTGTCAGAACAGTTCAAATAAAACCGATAGTCCGAACAAATTCTAAAATTGAAAGTTCGAACATTAATAAACAAATGTGCAAGCGTAGATAGTTCAATTTAGAACTGATTCTGAACATATCTTTGTTCTGAACTAAGTCCGACAAACCTATATATAGATACACTCTACAAAATGTCCCAAACTGGTTTTTAATCGGTTCGTGTTCGGATATAATCCGCGAACAAAACCGTTTCTCGAGTTTTCCACTCCTTACTCGGATTTCAAAAATACCTCTTGTTCCAATTTACCAAGATCAAGTCAAGTCACATGAGCTGGGTTCGGCTTGCTCACTCCGCGCACTCCGAGTGACTCCATTCGCACTCCAGCCGTTCGGGTATTACTTTTTGGCGTTTTAGTGGTAACTCTATCAGCGTTCGACTATACGGAGTGGAGTAAATGGAGTTCACTCCAAAAGTTCCTCCTCGCAAAGAGAATTTTTTAGAGTAAGCATGCGCAGCAGTGAAATGTGGAAACTGTCAAGCTTGTTGTGTTGTTACGTTGTGGCTGTTGATTGCTGTTAAAAAAATTAAAAATGGTTTAAAGTCTATTACTCATAACTGCGAAATTCGCTCTTTTTTGACATTGCTTTGACAATTTGACGTTTGATTCACGCATAAAATGTCAAATTGTCAAAGCAATGTTAAAAAAGTGCGAATTTCGCAGTTATGAGTACAAGGCTTATTTATGTGTGGATGCGAAAATTGGTAAAATCATCGAATAAAATAATTGATGCGATTTTAAAATTTATTAAATATGATGGAAAAATTTCCTCGACAAAGTTAAACAGAGGCAAAAGTGTCATATTATTCATTATTGTGGAGGAATTGAAACTAATTTATAGTACACAAAACACCCGAGACTCAAAGACAGAAGTGAAAAAAAAAAAATTGGAAACTAGAACGTTGTAAAGTCACGGACGGTTGACTGTTATTTTGAAGCAAAGCAAATGGTGTTTGACATTTTTGCTCCAACCGTCCGGTCGTTCGTGTATTAATTTTTCACTCTAATCACTCCTAGATCTCGTGACAAAAATCTGTTCTTACTCCACTCCAACTCCGTGCTGAATAGCCGAACCCAGCTATGATAAGATTCCACTCTACTCCGTTTCAACGCCCGAGTACAATCCTGATCCAGAACCGCTTTCCAGTATGCACATTGGCGCGCTCTAGAGCAACTCGGGGGCGGTAAAGGCACTTTCCGCATGTGTTAGGTACAAAATTTTACCTATGAGCATCTACATCTCTAAAAAAAGGCATTGATAAAATTAATTATTGAATCAGATTAATTATTAATGAAATTAGATTAGATAAAGAAATGATCAAAAATCCATTTTCTGAAAAAGAGAGGATTTCTGATTAAAAATATCAAATTTTACTTTACCGCACACTATGCGGTAAAGTGCACTTTACCGCACACTTTGTAGTCCATTTTACCGCATACTATGCTGTAAAGTTAACTTTACCGCACACTATGCGGTAAAGTTACTTTACCGCATAGTGTGCGGTAAAGTGATACTTTCCATTTGCAAATACGTGCGGTAAAGTGCGCTTTACCGCACGCTCGTAGGTAAAACAATTAAAAACACGGTTGGAGAGAGTTTTGTATCCCTTATCTATAGTCATAACTGAGTCGTCAGCTGTTTGCACTAGCGATTGTAGTTTAGAATTTAAATTTTTGATGAAAAATATTATTTACCTACTTTTGATTAACATAAGAGTTATATTCCTTTCACACCTATGAGGAGCTCTGGAACAGCTCCGGGGCTTTACGCGCTTATTCATTTCGAAAAGTGTTTGTTGCACCTGAGTACTCAAGCCAAGCCCGAAGTAAACCATTTAAATGCATTAAAGCCAGCGCATCTGTTCCTTTCAAATCGGGGCGACTAACACCAGAGCGAGTAGCTCTCGTGTTTCAAACTCTTGAAAGGAATACAGCAAAGGGAAAGATGAAAACGAGAAAAAAAAGAATTGTTTTAGAATGTTAATTAATGTAGTACAACCTCAGTAAAACCAAGCATGCTAAAGCAAAAGCCCGCGAAATCATAATCTGTGTTGCAAACAGGCTACGTCAAGGCGAAAAAGTACAGGTTATTGGTTATAAATGTCACCCCCCTCTATCTTTTTTATTTGACATTTTAGAAAAAAGTGGGCAACATGTATTTGGCCGACCAAATGTTAATTTTTCAATATTCGCCATACTCAATCGTTTGGTGGTCGTTTGGTGGTCTTTGGTATCCCACTTTTAATATTTGGTGGTAATTACTTAGGCAGTAATTAACAATTAAAAATTTCATATGACGTTGGCCGACATAACCTGATTCTAATTTATTTTTTGGCCCATTTATAGTCAAATCGAACGGAAATCGTTTGGTGGTCACGAATTTACCGAATTTAGCGGTTGTTAGTCAATAATACCGGAGTAATTAATCAATTAAGATTGTTTTCTGATATATTTTAATTAATCGTCGCGCATGCGCATATATTACCTGTTTTTCATTGAGCCGCCTCGATCGCGGCGTTGCCGTTGCGATCCGGAACTGGCGGTGGGCCGGTGGCGTGTCAACTCGCGAGTCGCGAGTCGCGGACTCTGCTTGTACTGGATACTAGATTACTGGATTGTCGTTGTCGGATTTTTAGTCTGGAGTTTTATTTTGTCATAAACCTGCGAACTTAATTACTGTTATAGACGTTATAGTTACTGTATGTATACTGTATAGAAGATAGTTATGACAATGGTCGGTTTTTAAATGCAAGTTTTAAATAGGCCTTTGACAAAACATAGCGGGTAGGCCGCTATTGTCGTTACCGTTACTATTTTCTATACTAGCTGGCTTCGGCTTACTCACTCCGTGCACTCTGATTGTCTCCATTCGCACTCCAGCCTCGGGTATCGCTTTTTGGCGTATAAGATAACGGCTGGAGTACGAATGGAGACACTCGGAGTGCACGGAGTGAGGAAGCCGAACCCATTTACTATAGTTCGCGTTAGAACGTCGGATGAATGCGCGAAACAACACTTTTTCAAATTAAACTGCAATACGACGTAGAAAATCATCGAACTATTTGAACAATAATTATAATAAATTTAACTCTTATGTACGGTGGATACATTCGTCTTAATTGTATTCCTGTGAAAAACATTGAAAAAACCCCTCAGAGACTAGACTTTCGAAGTTTGTATGCTTGAGTGGTTGGCTGATCATGAATTATTATAATCAATACTTATCAACATTATCAACCGTATTTTCCAAACTTGCACAAAGACTTGGGTTAGTTTGCTTGCTGCCGATCAGGGTAATCTCTAAATCAATTAAAGATTTTTGCAAGCTAAGGAAGGAATATATCAATTTTGCATTTTGTTCCTATACAGGAGAATGCCTCACGTAGCCCGTGAATAAGATTGCAGTTGGATCAAATGCTATCTCTAGTAATCCACTTGCAACCTAAAAAACTTCTTATTAATGCACGGGCTAAGTAAATCACGATGTATACCTATTTTCAGTATTCGAGTAAGTATAGATACCTACCTAATTATTCGTTGATTGTAATGAAATAATTGATTTGATTGAAAATTATAGAATAGGTAGGCAACGCCGCGATCGAGGCGGCTCAATGAAAAACAGATAATATATGCGCATGCGCGACGAATAATTAGAATATATCAGAAAACAATCTTAATTGATTAATATCTCCGGTATTATTGACTACCAAACGTTAAATTCGGTAAATTCGTGACCACCAAACGATTTCCGTTCGATTTGACTATAAATGGGCCAAAAAATAAATTAGAATCAGGTTATGTCGGCCAACGTCATATGAAATTTTGAATTGTTAATTACTGCCTAAGTAATTACCACCAAATACTAAAAGTGGGATACCAAAGACCACCAAACGACCACCAAACGATTGAGTAAGGCGAATATTGAAAAATTAACATTTGGTCGGCCATACACATGTTGCCAAAAAAGTGTCTCAAATAAAAGTTTTATGGTTAGAATTAAATTTTTTGAAAAACTCACTTTTGCATATACAGGGTGTTTCAGAAAAAACTGGTCGTGCTCCAAATTTCTTATTTCAAATAGAATACCCTGTGGCCTGTATTATATTATTGGATATTCGGATTCTACGTAAAATTCTGAGCAGATTTCATGTGATATACTCTATACCTAAGTTACACTGTTTTGGAAATATTGACTGTTGAAAATTGACTTTTTTGCAACTCTGACAGGCTCTAAATCCTAAACGGTTAATTTCAGAGCAAAACCGATCTTACATTTTTATCTTAGATTTTTATAAACTATCAGTTGACACCAATATTTGACATCAGTTTTGAATTTAATCCATGATTGAAAATTCCAATTAAATTTAATCTTCGGTTAAATTCAAAGTTGGTGTCAGATGATAACTTGTGAAAATCTTAGAAAAAAAATGTAAGATCGGTTTTGCTCAAAAGTTAACCGTTTAGGTTTTACAGCCTGTCAAATTTACAAAAAAGTCAATTTTCAACTGTCAATATTTCCAAAACAGTTGAACTTAGGTATAAGGTATATCACATAAAATCTGCTGAGAATTTGACGTAGAATCCGAATATTGAGTAATATACAGGGTATTCAATTTGAAATAAGAAAGTTGGAGTACGACCAGCTCTTTTGAAACACCCTGTATATGCAAGAGTGAGTTTTTCAAAAAATTTAATTTCAACCATACAATTTTTTTATTTGAGACACTTTTTTCTAAAATGTCATATAAAAAAAGATAGAAGGGGGTGACATTTATAATCAATAACCCTGTACATGCTGTTACGTCACAACTGGTCATTTGGCGTGGTTGGGGCTTCAGATTTGTTCCACATAGAACTTATGAAGATAGGCTATCCTGTAGTAGTAGTGTGTATTATCCTTGCATGCTTCCGGCGAACTACGTTCAATATGACGTCATGAGTTTCTAGCGAGTAAGTTTATGCTCATGAAATCATGGAAGTAGTTCGTCGTACAGTGGCTAAATAAACCTTTAAGGCTCGCTTTCCTCGGATGCGGGACGGAGACGGAACGGGTGCCGCAGACGTTGCCGGCATTAAAAATATAAAGATGTGCTTTCCTAAGCAGCGGTGGCGCGACGGCGGCGGAGCGCAGTTTTTTTGACGCTAGCGGAATCACGCCACCGATCGGTCGACAGGCAACTTCGACGGAGCGCAACACGGACGGAATATTATAAATTTAAAAATATCGAGTTTTTCAGAAGAGCAAAGTGAGTTGTTGATTGATTTTAGTGTGGCAGTATCTTGTGTTGTATAATTTATCTATTTATATATGTCTAATGAAATAAAAAATAGCCTATTTTCACACACGGATTACCGAACCGCCCACGTTGCGTCGCCTTCGAGGAAAGCACTAGCTTCCAAGCGCGTTACGCCAGGAAGCGCTATGACTCCGTCACGCTTGCGTTCCGTCTCCGTCCCGCATCCGAGGAAAGCGAGCCTTAACATACAGTGGCGACAATAGAGGTCCCGCCGCCATCTTGTTCCCAACCTCTTGTTACTTTTAAATATTAATATATAGGATTTAAATGGACATCTATCATAAAAAATTGAAGTCGACGTAATTAATGACCATTATTAGTTCCATCATTCGTTGTTTTCCATGATTTATGATGAATGTTCACCTAAATCCCATATATTCATATTTAAAAGTAACAAGGGGTTGGGAACAAGATGGCAGCGTTTTCAATATAAATATATGGGATTTTAGAACCAATCAAAAATGAGACAGCAATTGTCGCCACTGTGGGTTATAGAGTCACTGTAGTTCGTCGCGCAAATTCTTTTAAACGGAAAAATTAATAGCGTTTTCGAGATTTTCCTCAAAACTGCATCTGATTGATCAAAAAGTGATCCGAAACGGATTCACATGGAGCAGTAAAGCCCGAAAATGTGTTCTAGCCGGGATAAGATAAAAATTGATATGGAAAAACTGAGAAATAGATGAAAAATGTGAGAAACAATATAAGAGGACATGTTTTTTCTATTCCAGGCTAACGATTTTTTTTTATTTCGACAAACTCGAGAGCCGGGAATAAACAAAAATTGAAAATTCAGATGGAAAAATTGATAAGAGAAATATAGGAAAAATTGAAAAAAATCTGGTGAAATTTGTTTCCTTTGAGAAAATCAATAGCCGTTAATAGACAAAACTACTAAAGTCTGTTTTTTTTTTTAAAGATAATTCCCCAAGTCAAAAATTTAGTAACTATGTTGGCAACACAAGCCTTTTCTACATAAAAAATTTGAAAGCATTGACAATTTTACATTGTATTGCCAACATAATGTCATTTTGACTTTTATCTTAAAAAAAAAAAAAATCACAGTTTACTTAAACTTTCAAGAAGCACTCGGATTTAAAAAAAAAAAAATGTTCTTTTTGGGAGTTAACTCCTTACTCCGACCGACCAGCTCCGGAGCCTGGATTCGGCCGCTCAAGAATTTCTTTACTCTAGAACAAGAACACGTGTCAAAAGCTATTCCTACTCCAACTTCGTTCTAATAATCTAAATATGTTCATATTAGCTTTTTTTTGTGTCTTTTTCTTCAACATTAGAGCACTATAAGTGCAACAAGGAGAGCATAATGAGACGTATGTCCTTACTGAGAAAGAACGGATTTTTTTCGCCATATGACATCAAAACAATAATTGAACATCTGAGCGAAGAGGTCATTGATTTTGTCCAAACCAAAAAAATTGATGTATTTTGTTGTGAAATAATTTGTATTTTTTTTTTTTTTTGGAAACTTCTTTCCAAGTTTCACTTGAGGTTTTTCAAGTGTTTGAAGAGGTTCGCGATCGTCCAACTATGAGCTTTCTCTTGTAAGTATGAGTCACACTACGCCACAATGTACCGTGAAAAAGTGGAAAATCGAAAGGACTATTTTTAGTATTGCTCCAATCACTTCTTAAAATGAAATCTAAATGCCATGCAATCGATGGCATTTAGATTTTGTTCTTTTTTCGAAAGTGATTACTGGAAAATGAAATGAGCGACTTTGAGTTTGAGTACGAAAGGTAGAATTCCAATTCTTGAAACATTTTTGTTTATGAATAATTAGTGATTGTTCTATAAAGTGCTTGTTTAACAGTTTAGCGAAGATAAAGTGGTACTTTATTGTACTAGTGAAATAAAGTAACTTTATTGTCACAGAAAAGTCACCCATTAAAACTCTATTTTAGGTTTGTTCTCATAGAAATAACAAACTAGTCAGAGCGTTTTTGTGATTGGTGCAAATCACCAACTGCCAGTTTTATGACTATTTGCAACCAATGACTGGTTTTTGATTTCTGGGAGAACAAATCTTTATGTACTAATAACATAAATATAGCTTCTATTTTATGCATCTTTTAATATAGAAAACATAAATTTGTTGGTCCTGTTCATTAATTTTTGCTTGAACGTGTTCAAAGAACATTCTATTAAAAAACTTGATTCATCATTCCACATATCTAATTTGGAACATTTTAACAACAAAAGCCTTTTTGCCCCCTATACCTACAACAACAAATATAACGATAAGAAAACAACTCATTGATAAAGTTGAAACAAAGCTTCGATTTTCTTTATTAATCATTCTAGTATTCTAGGTCAAAATGTGGACTGAAGGTGTATTTTGTTTGTTTAGCGGAAGCCGTTCTTCGAAAACCTTCAAACCCAAGAAAAACATACCGGAAGGCACGCACCAATATGAGCTAATGAAACATGCAGCTGCCACATTGGGCTCTGGAAATTTACGTTTGGCAGTTATGTTGCCAGAAGGAGAGGATCTTAACGAATGGGTAGCAGTAAATAGTATGTATTTCCTAAATTTTGTACCAATTAATCCAATCTTATAAGATATTTAGGTTTTTGGTATATATTTTTATTTAACTCTCACAGAGCTGTATGTACTTAAAGTATTGAATATTAAGTATATTGGATACTTACAGCTTACAGTTTTAAGTACACAGTGTTTCAAATACGAGTCACACAGGGTTGGCAAAAAAATTTCTCTACTCTTTAGTTGTTCTAAAGAGTCATTGTCATGTGACGATTTTCAAGATATTCTGAAAGTTTCCAGTTCTAAATTGTTTCAAAAAGTTTCATATAATTTCTAATGTGTTCTAGAGCGTTCAAAAATATTCCTGTAAATTTTAACTTGGATTTAAACCTAAACTCAGTATCTGAAGTTTTTTTGAATGTTCCGAGAGCTCAAAAGTGTTCTGTTCTGTTCTAGAATATAATACCAGCCCTTAATGCTCTTGAAGCGCCAGAATCCAAAATATTTTCAAGTGTCTTTTGATACTTCTTACTGAAATTGTAAATAAGTTCAGAAGTCTTTTATAGAGTTCTAATATTTTCATTTTTGGAAGTTTTCAGTTCTAAATTGTTTCCAAAAGTTCCATATGATTTATAAAGTGTTCTGGAGTATTCCAAAAGCTTCCTGAAATGTTGCCCAAAGTTCCTGGTCTGTTCTAGAATGTTTCTGAAATTCTAAATAGCTTCTGTAACATTTTACAATGTTTTAAAAGATTCCAATTCGTCTAGAACAAATGCAGGAGTATTGAAAATTGAACTGAAAGTCTTCTGAAGCTTATCAAAGTTCTATATTGCTCCAGAGTGTCTTAACCCTTTTCCGCCCAGTGGTATGCTCAGAGTACCATAAATTTATTATTTTCTATTTTGATGCCTAGTGGTAATCACGGTATACCACCGATTTAATTCGACGTAAGTATAGCCATCTATCAGAAAAAAAATTTAATAGCGCGATCACCGGGCTTTCTGGGATTTTTAGTAACGGCTTTATTTACATGTGTGAAGTATTTTTGAGCTCTCAAGAATTTTGTGCTGTTTTTGCGAATAAAGGAAAAACTAACAGTTATGGCCGGTAAGTATGGTAGATAAATGTCTAATAATTACTAGAAAATATGCATATATAATATTCTTTGGTTATTTCATTAGCTAATACAAAAAGTTTGGTGGTACGGCCTAGCTACCACTAGACACAGAAAATAATATTGCAAAATATTTTTTGCTGCAATTTGTGTCACAAATAGGTTTATTTTTTTTCAGGAAAGCGGGCTTGGTCTTTTTTTGATTTGGAGCAAATGGGCCAAGATGAGCTTGATGAAATTCTTGGAAAAAATCCAGATGATGATGATGATTATTTAGCAGAAATTCCATCAGATGGCGAGTCAATAGCTGGGGATTTCTTATCTGGAGACGAAGATGATTTAGAAGAGGTACCTAATGAAACTGAAACTCAAACTACAACAGTTGCTGAAGCTGAAGCGAGTGAGAGTGACTCCGAAAATGAAGTGCCTCTTTCAGTTTTATCGAAAAGACTACGACGTGTTGATAATAATGCTAGTAAATCCATGGAAGTATTATGGACAAACAGAAACTTGTTTACGGATATGCCTGCAGATTTTTCACAAATATCTGGTCCTTATGTTGATGATAACATTGAAACACCTGTTGAAGCGTTTCTCGAACTATGAACCCAAGAATTTTTGGAGTTGATTGTTTTTCAAACCAATCTGTTTGCTACCCAAAAATACATTCGCAAAGGAGCGCAAGGATTCAAAGCAACAACCATTGAAGAAATGAAGGTATTTCTAGGAGTAAATATTCTCATGGGCATAAAAAAATTACCAAGTCTAAGAGATTTTTGGTCATCCCAGGTTGAAATAAGAGATCATTACATTTTGTGGGCTTATTGGAGCACCACAAAAAAAAAATCGAATTTCGTTGGAGAAAGCGTTATCCAATACAAAAGAGAACAAATTCAAAAAGTCTCTTTGGAAACACGAATTGACAAGTCAAGTCATTTGCCAATTTATGGAACTTCTAGACGTTGCAATCACTGTAGCAGCAAAGCTCAACAGCGCAGGACCTTATGGGCATGTACAGCATGCAAGGTTCCACTTTGTATCAATCACGAACGAAATTGCTTCAAATTGTACCCCGAACTCTAATGGCCGAGTGGTAGCCTTAGCTTACCACCATCTAAATCAAAAATCAGCAATTGGCTTAAATTTTTTTTGCATGTTACATGTTTTTTATAAGGTAATAAACCCATAAATCCATATTTAAACGTGTTTTTGTTTTAAAAAAATTTCTCGGTTACAAAGGGTTAAAATCCTTAAAAATGTTCTAACTTAGCGCTAGCGCATTCTGAAGCTTTTCAGAGTTTTAAATTGGTTCCCTAATGATTTTGAAGTGCTGAAATGTTCTAGAAGTCAGAAATCTTTCAAATGTTCTTAAGCGCTCTTTGATATTTCTGTAGTTATCTGTTCGAAAATGTTAGGTTTTAGGTACCATCGTCACCAAAAGTATCTGGGACACAAATAATGCATATTAATCTCCTGGACTAATTCTACTGTCATTTAATTCAATGCATTTAATTCATAGTTTGACAAATATTTGACATAAAATTCATATAATAGGACAAGAGCTAATGTGATGCTGTCCCAGTTACTTTTGGTGACGATGGTACCTATACATGAAAAACACGTATATCCATCAAAAATTCAATTCTCCATACACTATAATACAATTAGCCAGAATTTCGCCAACCCTGGAGCAAATGTTCTCAAAGTATCAAGTACATATTCAATATTTCAAATACTTATACTTACAGTATTAAGTACATTGTACTTGAAGTAATAAGTATTTCACCTCAAGTAAAAAAAAAAAACAGTATAAGTGCAATCGAGAATGCAATACATATTATTTTCAGAATGCAGAGTAAGTTTCATATGCATTTTGGTATACTCAGAGTATTTATGTGTATCTACTGAAATAAGTACACTTGGCCAAACATAAAACTGGTACAGGCAACATTTAGTTTTAAAATTTGCCTAGTATGAGTCAGGCTTAACAACAAAAAGTCTGTTCTTAAAAACTTAGGTCAGACAGTTTTTGTCAACGTCAAACCTGAAAAAAATTGAATGCAACATGTTTTTATGTTATGATTGGTTTAAATATGACACTGACTTGACTCTTTTTGTCATTGTTGAGGTGATAAAAAAGGTCGATTTACACAATACAACACGATAGAAAAATGCGTACCAGTTTTATGTTTGGCCAAGTGTACTTATAAACTTACTTTTCGCATTTTTGAAATGAATGTAATACATAACTGCATACAAAATTCAGTGTTAAAGTGCAATTTAACCTGTATAGAAACTCATTATCAGTTCTTTTAAATGTTTTCCCTTATACAAGCATTATTTCCTAGGAAATACTCAAACTACTACTTTACTACTAATCTTTAAGTACTTTTCAAGAGTTGATTCAAATTTTCACTAGGTACATTTTTAAGGAGTAAGTAGTACTGAGGGGTGGTTAACTGGTCAAAATCCGTGTACAAGTTGGTCAAAATCACAGAAAATCTCATAAGATCTATTCAAAATCCCTTAAAATCTTTGAAATCCTTAAAAATTTAACAAAAACCCACAAAATCTCTTGAAATTGCATAAAATCCTACAAAATCTAACAAAATTTTCCTGCAAAATCTCATAAAATCATTAACATTCCAAAAATCTGTTAAAGTCTCTCAAAATTCCATAATTTAGTGGAATTTCAAGGAATTTTGGTAGAATTATTTATTTTCCAAAAGGAATTACATGTGAAACTTTTGCAGAGTTCCCATAAAATTCACATTAAATTTTAGTTCCTCTCGAATTACATGAAATTCCAGTGAAATTCCGTTCGAATTACACGAAATTCCAAATGAATTGCATGGAGAAATTCTGAACAATTATACCGAAATTCCCAACATGAAATTTCAGTTCATACAGAATTTTAGTAAAATTCCAGAAAATTCCACAAGTGAAATGCCAAGAAATTTCTGGCTAAAAACATGGAATTTCGGTGATAGGTATTCCGAAAAATTCCCATGTAATGACATGAAATTTCAATATATTTCGGTGAATTTTCAAGAAATTACTTGAAGTTTCATTAATATTCCCAAAAATTCCTGGCTATTAAAAGAGAATTTCAGTCGAGATTTCAGTGAAATTCCGAAAAATTCTTATAAAGATAAATGAAATTTTGAAAAAATTTCTTGAAATTTCATTGGACTTTCGAGAAATCTTCGGCTATAAACGTGGAATTTCAAAATATTCTCATAAAATTTTAGTGAATTCCGAGAAATGTATAAGAAATTACATGAAATGTCAATGAAATTCCGAAGAATTTTATGAAAATTTTGTGGAATTCCAGGATATTTCGATATTTCAGTGGTGAAATTTTGGGGAATTTCAGTACAGTTAAAAAAAAATTATGGAATTTTGAAATTTTAGTGAAAAATGAAAATCCTATACTGTAATTCTGAAAAAAATTTGTCTAAGAATTCCATAAAATCTTCTGGTGAAATGTTAAGGAATTTCTATGGAATTACTAAAAATTTTCGCGGAATTCCTATGGAATAACTTAAAATTTTAGTGGAATTCCGAAGAATTTCATGAAATTTCATAATGTAATTACGAGAAATTTTTGTTCAAGAATCCCATTAAATTTTATTGCGGAATTCCATGAAATATTATTGTGAAATTTGGAAAAATAATATGAAATCTTATAGTAAAATTTTTAAAAATTTCCGTTTTTCCATTCAAATTTACCATTTGAATGGAATTTCGAGGAATTCCATAAAATCTTCTGGTGAAATTCTAAGGAATTTCTATGAAATTAACTAAAATTTTCACGGAATTGCCATGGAATGACTTGAAATTTTAATGGAATTCGGGAGAATTTCATGAAATCTCATAGTGTAATTTCGAGGAATTTTTGTGCAAGAATTCCATTAAATTTTATGGTGGAATTCCATAGAATCTTTTGATGAAATTCGGAAAAGTATTATGACATCTTTTAGGAAAATTTCTAAGAATTAACGTTTTTCCATTCAAATTTATCACTTGAATGGAATTTCGAGGAATTTCTATGGAATTGACTACAATTTTTGCGAAATTCCCATGGAATAACTTGAACTTTTAGTGGAATTCCGAAGAATTTCATATAATTGTATATTGATATTCCAAAGGAAAAAAAAATCCAAGAATTCCATGAAATTTTATAATGTGAAATGTGACATGTGAAATTTTTGCGGAGTTTCCATAGAATTCACATTAAATTTTAGTTCCCCTCGAATTACATGAAATTTCAGTGGAATTTTGATCGTGAACATGGAATCCTGAATGAGTTGCATTGAGGAATTCTAAACAATTACATTGAATTACACCGAAATTCCTAACATGAAATTTCTGTACTCGTTAAATTACATAAAGAATTTTAGAAAAGTTTCAAAAATTTACATGATTTCCGAGGAATTTTTGTCGAATTATATGCAATTGCATGGAATTCCAAGAAATTGTCAGGGAATTAAATGAAATTTAAGTGGAATTTTGAACAACTCTTATCGTTTCATAAGGAATTCATGAAGTTTTATTTTTATTCCAAGGTATTCCCAGTTAAAAACATGGCATTTAAGTGAAATTGAAATTCCGAAAAATTCCCATTGAATTCCTGAATTTTAGTAAAATTAGAGAAAATTTCACAAGTGGAATTCCGAGGAATTTCCAGCTAAAAACTTTTTTGGTGAAACTTGGAAAAATTCCTATGTAATGATATGAATTTTCAAGAAATTACTTGAAGCTTCATTAATATTCCCAGAAATTCCTGACTATTGAAATAAAATTTCAGTGAAATTCCGAAAAATACTTATGGAAATAAATGAAATTTTGAAGTTTTATTGGAATTTCGAGAAATTTTCGACTAATAACGTGGAATTTCAGTAAAATTTTTAAAAAATCCTCTTAAAATTTTAGTGAAATTCTGAGGAATTTCTAAGAAATTACAGAAAATTTTGTGAAATTCCAGGATATTTCAATGGTGAAGTTTTGGGGAATTTCAGTAAAGTTTTAAAAAAATTATAGAATTTGGAATTTCTATAGAATTTTGGAGAATTTCAGTGGGATTTCGAAAAAAAAAAAAAAAATGAAATATTCGCAGAATTTCCATCAAATTAAACCTATATACACTTTGTGTCGACTTACATAAAATTTCGATGAAATGTCGAGTAAAATTCCAAGGAATTCTCGTCAAATTACATACATGGAATTCCTTGAAATCTAATTGTGGAATTCCAGTCAAATTAGGTATATAGAATCCGAAGAATTCCCTTGGAATTAAACAGAATTTCCGTGGAATTTCCAAGGAACCACGAGAAATTTCGGCGGAATTCCGAAGAATTGAATTAAATTTTAGTGAAATTCTGAGTACCTAATTTCTATGGAATTAACAAAAATTTTTGCAGAATTCCCATGGAATAACTTGAAATTTTAGTGGAATGTCGAGGAATTTCATTAAATCTCATAAGTAGTGTAATTCTGAGGAATTTTTGTTCAAAAAGTCCATTGAATTTTATCTGTGTGCCTACATATTTTAAGGAGTTAATCATCCCTCGAGTAGTACCTACTTAAAATAACTTCCCCAAATAAATTTAAGTACCAGTGATTATTCTTTTGTAAACCCTCTCCTTATGAAAGTATGTACCTAAGTAAAATACTTAGGACCGATACTTTTGCTCTCGATTAATGAATTTGATACATTGTCAAAGTTTTGTATGAGCCAAGGTCTATAAGTATGATGTCGTTAGAGCACATTCTAACCCCTAATTATTTTTAACGGCTGTTAAATGAGAGCAAAAGTACCGGCACTTAAAGTATCAAAATGTAGGCACTGAATATTTGACATGTTAATTTTTCTAATGTTAGGTAATCCAATCATTATTGTTCTAGCTGTAGATTTCTTTAACCAAATCAACATGCTTTATGGAACGATAACAGAATTTTGTACAGAAGACAGCTGCCCTATAATGTCAGCGGGCCCGAAATACGAATACCATTGGGCGGACGGTCATACGGTGAAGAAACCCATCAAATGTTCCGCACCAAAATATATCGATTATTTGATGACGTGGGTACAGGATCAATTGGACGACGAAACGCTATTTCCTTCAAAAATAGGTAAGATTTCATTTTCATATTTAACGATTACAGTTTCAATTTCTCTTTGGTAATAGCAATAATTACTTAATGCTCTGTTAATTTTCTTATAATGACGTCAACTATTGTTTAATGAAAACCTCTATGATTACATAATGATGTGGATATTTTTGAAATAATAATCCATCAATGTAGACTGTATTGTATCTAGTAAAAAACAAATCTTTTCCAGGTGTACCATTTCCGAAAAACTTCCAATCAATAGCCAAAACAATTCTAAAACGACTGTTCAGAGTCTACGCGCACATCTACCATCAGCATTTTAGTGAAGTGGTGCAGCTGGGTGAAGAAGCTCACTTGAACACCTCGTTTAAACATTTCATATTTTTCGTGCAAGAATTCAGTCTGATCGAGAGGCGAGAATTGGCACCTTTGCAAGAACTTATCGATAAATTGACTGCCAAAGAGCAACGATAGGTGATGAAACGCACCCGAATGTGGTAACTTTTTTTTTCTCACTATAATAATTTATCTCTTTATAGTGGGTCACTTGCTGTTATTTGTTTTATTGGCATTTTCCCATGATTCTCAAACTATTAAGACAGTTTGTTCATTGGGACATTTTTTGAACATTAATAACTTTTGGTACCTATGTGCCTTTTAGCAGCTGAAGATAGTAAAATAGATAAAAGAAATGCTAAACTTTAGTTTAGATATTAAAACAGCTTATAGCTTATTCCAATTGGTATCAAACTTTGTTTGAAAGATAGTATTGGACTGTTGTCAAAATATTGAACAAGCATTAGCTTAAAATGAAAAGTACCTCCTAGAATAAAAATTCTAAACATCTAATTCGCTCGCGAATGTGATATTATTGGTGAATATTCTCTGCTCAATGTGAGCAGTAGAGAAGTTGGAAACTAACACACACATACTTACCAACCATCTGACAGCCATTCTCCAGCTTTTAGATCTAAGAATTATTTATATAGGCAAATGACATCTATTTTTCTAATTTATTGACAAAGAAAGCTATGTAATGAAACATAAGTGAATTAAAAAAGTTATCAATGATCGAAAACTCTGAGTCTGTCCATTTTTTGCAGCAGATTTAATGACAATTATTTATATAATATATATATTGTTCTCACAAAATTGGTGAACCAGCTTAGGGCACATTATCATACAGGGTGTATACTTTTTTGATTGGTCTCCTAGTTAGGTGTTTTAATGCTTTTTGCAGTAAAGTTTTAAGTAATTAAACCAAAGTTTCTTATAATCATTATTAATATTTTAAGTCACAAAAGGTGAATCTTGGCAAAATAGGTTGGATAACACAATTTGTTATTTTGCAATGTTTTCCTAAAATTTGCTTTGTTATTATGGCTAATTGCTTAACTTAACACTCACGCGCTATTACTTCAAAAATAATAATATAAACATGTGTATTTTGTAATAAAAAAATTGAAAAATATGCAAACGTCGGGCCAGTTTTACCAAAATGACTGTTTATACTTTTTGGCTTGAAAGGGTTATAATGATACACATGCATTTGTATAGAAAACGTAGACACCTAACAAAAATTATTGTAGATCTTAATGTCGATAATAATAATTAATAAATATATCAAAGTAATGTATTTTTCATACATTTTCATAAAAAAAAATCAAGATATTTTTTAACATTTCATCTATTATTTATTGTATTAATCAATTTGTTGTTTAGGAAGAATCAACTGCTAACTGGAAATAGGTAAATCAGTTGGTTCCTTTTGTAGATGACGTTTTATTTTCGCAATAAAAAAAAAATGCTAGTTTTAAGCTACACATAGTGATATAATCATTTTTGTATGATGATTAGCAGACCTCCTGTTTTTTTTTATTAATAATTATTTTTTAGTTAAACTAATGAACATCTATTATTTTTTAGTTATTTTTTTCTTCTGTTAGGATTTGATAGGTTTGCATTGAAAAGTTGAAAAGCTCTTTTGTCATTTTACTGTTATTATTTGTAAATATTTTATTAAAATCCTATTAAACCTGAATATTTTGTTTTATTTTTCTAATTAGCAAAGAGATGGTTGAATTTGATAGAACTTAATTGTTATCAGGGCTGGCTCTAGGTACTCTACCGCAAATGGCAATGAGTGAATTTGCCTCCCCATCCCATGGCTTAAGGAAAATGTGAGAGATTTTCGTAGAAAAAAAATTACACATTTTGTCATGTGTTAGGTAACCACGAAAAAAAACTAACATAGGAAAACAAGGTACATGAAAGACAAAGTAAAAGTAATCCAATCCAAACTCTTGGCAACAATCAACAGATAATTTATGTAGGTATACCCTAATAGCACAGTAACGTAAAAAGTTAACTTAAAGTCAAGCTCAATTAAAACAGAAATATCATCAACATTAACCTCTGCCTATACAGTGTCAACACCAACCAATGGTTCCCTATGTTTGTTAACCGACCCCGACCAAACTGCTATGTGAATTAGCTCATATTCCAGTCAATTTGCGTATGTTCTTTCTGTTTAATAGCGTGTTTATTGTTTGCTCGAGTTTAAATTTAACTTTTCAAATTTGTATAGCGTGAATACACAAAACGCCCAATCAACTGACACCATAGGATAGGCCTATTCGCCTGTCTCGCATAGTCTAACTATTCAATTTATATCCGAATGAAATGGCGGTGGCGTTTAGCATGGTAAAGGCACCTGCAAATACTGCAAGTTGTAAAACGGGGCCTTGCAAAAGAAATATGTTAATGTTAAAAAGCACCTGCAACGTAATAGTACATTATACACCTAGGGACTAAAGTGGTACTTTTAACGAGACAAAAAGTTTTGTCGAGGGATTAAAAAACACTTTAGCCCTGAGGCTCGTCCTGAGGTGTATACACTATTTGATGCACTTCACTTTATTTCCCGAGGATTAAATAAAACAGGGAATAAAAGGGTACTTTTAATCCCCGGGAAATAAAGTAAAAATTTAATCCCCGGGAAATAAAGTGAAATTTAATCCCGGGGATTAAAAGACCCACTTTACTCCCTTTACTCCCTGAAGTACATACATATTTTTTTTTACTACTAACCAGGGTTGCCAGGTCGAAAAAAAATTATTCATGAGAAAATACAGCAAAAATCATGAGATTCTCGGTAAAAATCATGAGATGACTAATTTTATCGGGAATCGACAAAAAAATGCGTCTATTTTAATAATATGCATTCTTATTGGATAAAAAAATCAGTTATTTTATCTGAAAAATATAACACAAAACATAAAATATAACACAGAGAATAAAATAAAAACCTCAAAACACAAAAATTACTTACTAGGTAGGTACAGGGTTATTGGTTATAAATGTCACGCCCCTCTATCTTTTTTATTTGACATTTTAGAAAAAACTGTCCCAAATAAAAGATTTATGATTGAAATTAAAGTTTTCGAAAAACTCACTTTCACATACACAGGGTGTTTCAGAAAAGCTGGTGGTGCTCCAAATTTCTTATTTCAAATAGAATACCCTGTGTATTATTGTATAATTCGGATTCTATGTAAAATTCTGAGCAGATTTCATGTGATATACCCTATACCTAAGTTCAACTGTTTTCGAAATATTGACAGTTGAAAATTGACTTTTTTGCAACTTTGACAGGCTGTGAATCCTAAACGGTTAATTTTAGAGCAAACCCGATCTTACATTTTTGTCTTAGATTTTTATAAACTATTAGTTGACACCAGTATTTGACATCAACTTTGAATTTAATCCATGATTGAAAATTCCAATTAAATTTAATCTTCGGTTAAATTCAAAGTTGGTGTCAAATGATAACTTGTGAAAATCTTAGAAAAAAAATGTATGATCGGTTTTGCTCAAAAGTTAACCGTTTAGGTTTTACAGCCTGACAAATTTGCAAAAAAGTCAATTTTCAACTGTCAATATTTCCAAAACAGTTGAATTTAGGTATAGGGTATATCACATGAAATCTGCTCAGAATTTGACGTAGAATCCGAATATTGAATAATATACAGGGTATTCAATTTCAAATAAGAAAAATAGAGCACGACCAGCTTTTTTAAAACACTCTGTATATGCAAAAGTGAGTTTTTCAATAAATTCAATTTCAACCATACATTTTTTATTTGGGACACTTTTTTCTAAAATGTCAAATAAAAAAGATAGAGAGGGGGTGACATTTATAACCAATAACCCTGTGCCTACTTCCTATATTAGGCGTAACGTCATTCCAGACAGAAGTTAACTTTTAGTTATTCTGTCAATTTTTTTTTATAATACCCGTCATGAAGTTAACACATGGCGGGTATTATAAAACTACTTTGAGAATTAACTTAAAGTTAACTTCTGAAAATACACGTAATTCAAAAAGTTAACTTGAAGTTAACTGTCAAAGCAGTTTTATAATACCCCCTAAGGGCGGGTTTTGAATTACATGTAATTCCAGAAGTTAACCTTAAGTTAACTCTCAAAGTAGTTTTATAATACCCGCCCTTAACCTGCTTCTCGCTTCTGATATTCTGATATTAGATCTGTTCGCACAGAAATCACGAACCAGTCAGAGTGAATTTCATGGGTTGGAAAACTTGTTCCAACTTGGAACAAGTTTTCAACCAATGAAATTCGCTCTGGTTAATTTGTAATTTCTGTGCAAACAAACCTATAAATTATAGAAAATATTCATTATACGCAAGCGCTTGAATGTGATAATGTTAAAATATCAAACACATAGTTTGAATTTTAAATGAAAATAATAAAATTACCGGAGTATGTGTATTGCGCCAAAAATCATGAGATTTTTGTTGAAAATCATGGAATCATGAAAAATGTGTCCAAATCATGAGATTTCATGAAAAATCATGAGACCTGGCAACCTTGTTACTAACCTGAGAAATAGTCATTATCAGTGTTGCCAGATGGAAAAAATAAAGAATGGTATCTGTCATTCAAAAAAGTGGTATTTTACACACAAAAAATGGTATCTTTAATTTTAAAGGGGAAGTGGGTTTATTGTTATATTTTATTATTTTCATTTTTGAAGGTCTATTATCACACGTCAAAACCCGTCCCAAGAACCGTTTCGAAACCACTCTATACGAAATGCGGATTATACGCACAAAGTTTTGCGCAGAATTATGACGTACACGGTTCCCCACTGTGTGGGAACAAAGCTTATAATTAGCACACGAGTCCATGTTAGCCTTAAAGCTATAGTACTCATAACCGCGAATTACGGATTTTTTTCTATTGGTCGAATATATTTAAACCTGTCAAATTTAAATATACTTATTCGACCAATAGAAAAAAATCCGCGAAACAAAAATTCCCAAAACAAAAATCCGCAATTCGCGGTTATGACTGTTATGAGTACTAGGCTTTAAAAACTGAAATCCGATTAGATTAGAATAATGACGTCACGATATTAGCTGGAATGATCCTATAAATGAAAACAGTAAAATATAAAGAGGGTTTCAAGCGTTTGACAGGTCGGTTACACTTGACAGATAAACAATGAAGTAAACGTCATTTGCTCTTGAATGACGTAATATGCGTTGCTCACCTGTCAAAATTACCGACTAGTCAATCGCTTGAACACCTCAAATGTTTTATTAAATGGTATATGCAAAAAATGGTAGAAAAATGGTAACTGTCGTCAAAAAATGATAGAAAAATGGAAAATGGTACCTATCCTCAAAATTTTTGCAGGTATCATGGAAAAAAAAAAATGGTATAAATATCTGGCAACGTTGGTCATTATTCAATCTATTTTTCTAGGAAAAAATTTAATTTCTCTCCCTAGGTTAATAATGAAAATAATGAAAAAATACCTAGGTTAATAATGAAAATGACGTCATGACGCAAGGATATTGTCATGTTTTTATTGGTTCAATTTCAATTTCATACGTCTAATAAAAAAAAAATACAGGTTTCTGTAGGTACATAGGAAGTTATCATAGGCTGTTGATAGAAGGCACCACTTTCAAGAAGTTAATGCGAAATCGGACGATATCTCCTTACAGGGTGATGCAAGAAAAAAAATTTAAATTACAAAGTTATTTGATACTCTAATGCCCGTATTATATCTGTGTATTTGTGTAATTCAGGGTGCCAACATTATTTTGTTTTCCATAATGCTGATTTATGTTGCGTTTGAAGTTTTTCGGTTGTCACCCTGAACTGCATGAATAAATACACGGAAAAATACACAGATGTAATACGGGCATAATATGCATTGGTTAAAAATATTTTCGAATATACAGGGTGCTTCGTTTATAGGGTATGCGACAGAACTTTGTTATTTCAAATAGAACACCCTGTATGTTATTACATACTTGGATTCTACGTGAAATTTTGAGCAGATTTCATGTAATATACCCTATACCTAAGTTCAACCGTTTTCGAAATATTGACAGTTGAAAATTGACTTTTTGCAACTTTGACAGGCTGTAAAACCTAAATGGTTAGTTTTAGAGGAAAACCGATTTTACATTCCTAACTTAGATTTTTATGAACTATCATTTGATACCAACTTTGAATTTAATCCATGATTAAAAATTTCAGTTAAATTTAATCTCCGGTTAAATTCAAAGTTGGTGTCAAACGATAGTTTATGGAAATCTAAGAATGTCTAAAATTAATCGTTTAGGTTTTACAGCCTGTCAAATTTGCAAAAAGTCAATTTTCAACTGCCAATATTTCCAAAACAGTTGAGTTTACGTATAGGGTATATTACATGAAATATGCTCAGAATTTTACGTGAAATCAGAATATGCAATCACATACAGGGTGTTCCATTTGAAATAACAAAGTTATGTCGCATATCCCATAAACGAAGCACCCTGTATATTCAAAAAAAATTTCAACTAATGTATATTAGAGTATCAAACAACTTTGTAATTTAATTTTTTTTTTCTTGCATCACTCTGTAAGGAGATATCGTCCGATATCGCACTAAGGGGACACCCTGTATACCTCACGCATCACGCATTATAAACCTCAACTATTTTAGGGAAGCCCTAACAATAA